GACCCCCCCCCCCCCCCCGTTGTTTAAAAAGGGTGAAAAGAGAAGCCGCAAGCCCCCAAGTCGGAGCCTTGCTTGGAGCACCAAGTAACACTGAAATGCCACAAAGTGTAAAATCTTGTGATGTTGCTTATTTTCTGGGGATTGGAGAAAAACTACCTTCAGTTGTGGCATTAAAAGAATGCCCCAAAGCGGAAAGCAGAAACCGCAACTAATCCGTCCAGGGTAGGAGCCTATATTGAAGCACCTTTAAATTTGGTGACACTGAGATGAAGAGTAAAGCCCTGAGCAACTAGAACACAATTCATGAGAGTGTTACAGTTTTGTTGCTTCATTATAGGCCCCGCCCCCCCCCCCCCCCGCACTCCGGCCCGTATTGACTTTACACACCAGACTTAGGGGGGGGGGGCGCTTCCACAAGGTGGGAACATAATTATACGCGTACCCTAAATAACACTTGGGGGGGGGGGGGGGTGTAGGCTCTTTCTGACCATGTTGTTGGACCCGTTTTTTCTGTATAGGCTCGATTGTGGAATTGACCCATTGGTATCTCATATTATTATGTGAATGTTCTTTGGAAATTTGTATTGTAATTCATGTTCATTTTAGTTTTTAACTGCCAGACACGAAGCCATGCATGAAGTCTTTCGTCTACATCTGACTGTCAACGAAATGGAGTTAAGTCTTTTGTTAATTCCGTTTGTTGCTACGGCAGGCAGCCAGTGAAAGCGAATTCGTTTAATGAAACTATGGAAATGCAAGCACTACTTTAAACAAACAGAACTTTGTTATTCCTAGCTCACCTTTCCTGACTGAGGTGTCATATTATGAAAGGGCAGAAACTCAACTTTCTAGAAATTGGATTTTCTCTTTGAAATTTAGATACCGTCAGTCAAAATTGACTTTTTGGTTTCGTCTCTTCAAATTCATTTTCATCACTCATGCGTGAAATATGCATTATAATTGCTGCCTCAAAATCAATGAAAGAGGAGGATCTAAGCTAGCTTACAAATATTATGTGTCATTTATCAATTATAATTGTGACTAAGTTATGATAAAACATCGATAATTATTCTCGGTTTCGTTTTTCTCTGGGACGCGGTGTATACAGCTATATGCGGTACAGTTCATGCAAAGATCTTGAAATAGTTTTATGTCAGCAAATCATGTCATGTGATGATTGTGCTCCATTTTCCTCACAAACGCCCGTTGAAAAAGATGCGTCATATGAACTTTACGTCCTTACGCCTATGATTAAGGCCCCTATGAAGACATTATGCTGTTCAAAATTCAAAATTCACTTCTTACTCTCTCAGATGGCGCGTCAAAAAAATCGGGCCATTCGCTGACGCAAGTCCAACGTAAGGCAAAATGATAAGTCTTGTGTGCAACAAGCATAGCCTCAACTTTCCCATCTCATAACTATGATATATATTTTGAAATCCAGGATCGTGAAGGTATTGCTGAAAGTTGGCTCCTGTGCCAATAAAATAGCTTACAGAGTTACAGGTGCACGTAATTGATTATTATAGCGCCCTACAACGGGTTCGCGCTATTCATTTTGATGAATGAACAGGACGACTACGTCAGGCCTGGAGATAGCCCGGAGATTGGATTGCATCCGATTTAAGCAAGCATGCACCAGGAGCTGAGATACGTACGGCTTCATATCGGAGTCAAGTTGTAGCGTCGTTGAAATGGCCGTGAATAGTCTCCATCTCTAGCCTAGGATATATAGTGTAAAAGATTGTTGACGCTATTCTTGGACAAAGAATCAGGAAATAAAGGAACTAAACCCTGAACCCGCTGAGCTCGCGCATTGAGCATTTAAACGGTGATAGACCTACTCCAGTCCTGAGTATACTATTAGGTATGTAGAAAATATCGGTGTGTTTCGATCTGCCTTAGACGAATTCAGGGTATCCGTCATTTTCATTCATGCAATGCACGCAAATTTAGCCGGCAAAAACCGAGCTGCTCATAATACTGCATGCCACATCTTGTTGATGCATTATGCATACACGTGGTACGTATACTTTGTGTATCACGTGCGTGCTTAGCTTGAGAGTGTTTGATAATGTACTCAATGTGAAAGTGTGTGAGTGTGTGGCTTTTACAAATATATCTCTATTGTGCACGCACGTGAACCATCGATTTCTTCTACTGGGACAATGTATTCTTCCGCTTTGTATTAATACGGCTACAGCCAGAGAAGACAGTGTCAGATGCTGGAGTTAGCATGTGTGTTTTGGGAATGGACTATTAATTAAGTTATATGTCTATATCAATTATCATGCATGTAGTACTAGTAGTAGGTATAAATCCGGGGGGGGGGGAGGGGGGGGGGGGGGGTGTGCCGCTGAAGCCTTGAAACCCCTACACATTTTGTAAGGGTCATTTGTCATATGTCCAACTCCATTAATATGGACATGGCTGGATGGATGGGTTGGGAGGGGTAGCCTGCCCCTCCCCACCCCAGCCCCATCATGAGGGGCCCTTGTAGAGAACGCCTTGGTCTTTTTTGTTATGGTACCCTTGATTCCATGTAGGCCTACAAGGATTTTCATCTGTGCTGTATTTCTGATTTGTATGTGTATATTCTTTTCCTGGAATTAAATAAATTGAACTTGAACTTAAACTTAAAGCTACGGTTACAAAGGAATGATGCGTTCGTACGAATCTCCCTCTTTTTTCCAGTTGTCTTTCCAAATTTCCATTGTCTGAAAATCGTTCGTACGGCGTTCGTAGCAGTTCGTAATGGCATTTGTGACCGAGGATTAAGCTTTGAAGAGCAGAGAATCCTGGATTTACCATTTGACAAAATCGATTTACCTGGAGCCTACACTTAATGAGGAAATACTCTCAATATTCGAAGAAAAGAGCAGTGACTAAACTGTGAATGTGCTAAAGCACCCTAAACTGTTCAGTTTATCATAGCCGCCAGAACAATGTGTCTGATGGCCTAAACCCTTAGTAATCAATTCCAAATTATTACAAAAAAAAGTCTCTAACGGGTATTCACAAATCACATTTGTAAAGAAATTTGCTCTGAAAGAATGCAGAAAAGTCAGAAAAACAGATATAGTTTGAACAAAAATGCATTAAACTAAAAGTAACGTCGAGTCTTGAAAGTTTGAGATAAATAATATGTCTGACACCACCTTTAAATCTGTCTTCAAGATTGATGAGGGAGCTCATATCAGAAGGGAGGAAATCACATCGCATTATCATATCTTTCGACACTTTAATCTCTCCTTGTCCATTATCAGGCTGCATTTCCATTGCTTCGTTTCCGCGGTCATAATTCATAAATAGTATTCCTGTCGATCAAAAATGTGATATCTTCACCAGAGAGGCCGAAAATGGAGCCAAAAAAGCGGAGGGATTAAGAATGTATGCTCTACTTATTCCTTCCTCTTTCCTTGTACATGACTTGAGTTTTCTTTTTAAACGTTAGACCTGTTATCATATTTTCTTTCCCATAATAATCATTGATAACCGATGAGGTCAAAAATTGAAGAAACTGCACACGGATGGTATACTTCCTGGGCCCCGTTGTATAAAACTTACCATTGTATAACAGGACTCAACAGCCAATCAAAATCGAGGTTTCCATGGTAGTTACCATTGATGGCAAAGTTACCATCAATTATAGTTAGTTTTGTGCAACGGGGCCCCGGTCTCTTTACCATATTTACGTTATCTCTTTTCATTTATTTTCTCATTTTATTTGCCACTACCTTTAGATACCCCCATTCCATCTTTCTCTTCGCTCGCTCTCCTATTTCATTCTCTTTTCTTTCCCTTCCATCTCACTTCTCCTCCTTATAATGTCCTTACCTCCCTTTCGCGAGCCCTCTCTAATGTTTCTTCATATCCAAATGGTTTCCATTGTAGTCTTGTCCCTCTCGAGCCCCCTACCCCCCCCCCACCCTCTCTCCCTCTCTCTCTCTCTCTCTCTCACATAGTCTCTTCCTCCTGCGGTTTCTCTACTATTTTACTTAGTTTTCGATCTTTTACTTTCTATTTCTGCTTTTTGGTAACGCTTGCCCACGTGCTAACTTTATCTTCGTTCCCGTGACTTGTCTACGACTTCCTTGCCAAGATTTCAAAATAACTATATTGTAGGCTCGGCCAACGTAGTGATTATTAACATAAAAGTAGTAAGGACTATAGTCATGTCACAACGCTGGTTTGATTATCCGAACAGTAACTGTTGTCAGGATAGAAATAATGTTTTCATCGTTTTTTGTATTTGGTATACCTAGAAACACTTAATTAATTCACCCTTTTTCTTTAAGCGTTTGGAACATTCTTCAGCGATGTGTAATTATATAATTTTATAAAATAACTCTTGAACCAAGAGGAGGCTACTATATAGCAAAATTATGTGATGTTTTAGCTAAACGGGGGTGAGCTAGGGGGGGGGGGAGAGAAGATGATAGTAATCTCTCACGCACCTATATAATTTATAGTGAACCCCCTAACCGCGTCAGTGTCGGGAGGCACGCTACGCCACGGATTGGAAGTGTCTAAACATATAGTTTTGGCATGTGAGGCTGCCAAGTTGATGTTATCTCAAATTCTCCTGCTTACCTACACGGTCAACTATAATATTACAGATTGGATTACAGATACAGACGAATGGTCCAGTGCCCAAAAGCCATTACAACATTGTTATCTGTGTCCTGAAATATTATTGATTTAATGATCAATCACATGCTACTCATTGCTTGCCAGTACTACTAATTAATTATCATAGGTAGAGCTCTCTCTCTCTCTCTCTCTCTCTTAATTCATGAATGTAACTCAATCTATAATAATGTTATCATGATTCTAATGATGACAAGAATTGTGAGAAATGCAGTGGTAAGATTGAGAGAGGGATGCCGAATTTGTGTACCTACAACTATATTCTCATTCATACATGACGCGTTATAGGGTAGAAAAATCAATCCAACTATCATTTATTATTATTATATAAAAACTGTTTATTTTGACAGATTGACATGAAGGCCTAAGTAATTCGACGGACTCGATCGGAAGAAGCCAATCCAAGATGGCGGACAAACCGGTTCCAGAAGACAAATCTGAAGAAGCTGAGGTCAATGGGAACCTAAGCGGAGACCAGCTGGCGATATACAGCGGCGAGGTGTCCCCACATAGACCGGTCTCTGAGTCTGAGAACGAAGAAGATCTCAATGGACCAGGAAGTAGAAGATATTCCTATGGTAATTTGGTGCCCCTTTTCCCATTTTTTCTTCTTCATTTTTTTCATTTTTTCCATTTTTTCTTCTTCATTTTTTTTTCATTGTTTAGGGGTGGGGGGGGGGGGGGGGGGTGACATTGAGACCTATCATTTCAAGATAAGAGGACATGGGTCCTATCTTATAAAGAGTTGATAGCAATCGCAACTTTATAATGTATGGGAGCTCTCTCCCCTTGCGTTGCTCTATACTTGGACCCAAAACAGTATGCTGTGATATTATTTCTGCTTAAAAGTTATCTACGAATTCTCTCCCTTTTTATATTAAGGTGAGGCACTGGACAACCACGATCTTGACACGATGTATGGCGACTCCGCTCCCGATGACGTGAAGAAACGTCGGGAGATGACGCGTGATGGCCGTAGGGCATCGGCTAAGTTGCAGCGCCTGGATTCGATGAAAGTGTTGTTACCTTACCGACGCGGCGGACGCAGGAGGTAGGATTAAGTGTCTGCATAGAACACCACCGTTAAAGTCTTTCGAAAACTTAAGTTACTTTCAATAGCCTTGTCCATCATCAGTGTGCGAACATAACAATGGTGCGCAAGGGATTGGTTATCAGAATGTGATTTCTGTGGGGTATAAAATAAATTTAGGGTTTGAAATTCCCCAATTGGGTTGATGTTTCGAAAGTCTCTGTGATTGTTTTATTGCTCACATTTATTGGTCACATGAGACTATTATTCCGTGGTCATTTTCTGAAGCCGTTGAACACGAGGCGTCGTTTCGGTCCGTTATTACTGGCGCTAATAGACCATGTGAAATAAATTAGCCCGAACGCCAATGCTTTTAGGGGAATAGTTGCACTGCAGGGTGACATTGTACAAATAGTTATAGAAAAATGAGCTGCTCATTTGTAAATCTTTTCCAGCCTATGTCACTCCCATATATAATTGCGTCAAAAAATGCAGTCATTGACGCAGTCCTACATCAGTCACGTTTTATGACGCCTTGTGTTCAAGTGAACACATTAACCCAAATTAATTAGTAAAAGCCCAGACGTAGGACCGAACAAGGACTTTGTATAGCTCAGTCGGTAGAGCAGTGGTCTCGTAATCCGGTGACCCGGGTTCGAAACCAAGGCGATGTGCTGGTGCCCTTTGGTAAGGCATTAATCCTCATTACCAGGTCCCTCGGAGAGGACCTAAAGCCGTCGGCCATCTGGTTGCTTACTTACAAGCATTTGTGCTTTCTTAGCAGTCAGGTAAAATAACCACCACCACCACCACCACCAATGTAACCTAACCTTGAAACTTGCACATTACCCAAGATTTCACAACCCTTCTTTCTATATCGTGGACGAACGAAATGATTAAATCCCGGGGTGGGTATAATATCGCCAGATCAGATCACGTGTCGGCAAACAGTCGGGAACTGCTTTGAAATGCTGATGGGAAGCGATGTATTGGAAATGATTCCAAGAAATATATAAGCTTCTTCAATTATGAACCCATTAAAACTACGCCTTTGAAAAAAAAACTGTATTTCTATCATTTTTGCTAGCTGCATTCAATAAGTCGTAAATCGTATTTTTCACCAACAGGGGAGCGAGTCCTATTGATTCATCGGGACTCTTTTCTTCCATACTACTCACGTGGATGACGCCATTGTTCAGAAAATCTTTCAATGGCTACAGTCTGAAAGAGAGTGACCTCGTCCACCTCAGGTCACACAAGGAGACCTCGCAGACAGCGGCATTAAGGTTTGTATAATAATATTATTTATAATACGGGGCCCAGACCTAATAATATGGGTTGGATACATTAGTAATATACCAGAATTTTTAACCCACGGCAAGAAATTGGTTTTGTTATTATTATCATCATCATTGTCGTCATCATTATTGTTATTATCATTATTTATTTTTAGTTTTTATATTTATTTACGTATTATTATCATTTCTGGTTCAATGGGGGGGGGGGGGGTGATGTGTTTGCTTGCTTTTAGATTGATATTTTGTTACCGGAACTAGAACCCCCCCCCCCCCCCCCCCCCCCTCCTTCCTTAACTTCCCATATTCGGCATGTTCGGGCAATCACCAATGTGTATTAATTCGGGCAGGAAGATGCCCGAATGTGTCATATTGTCCATTCTGTCTATTTAAATTTGGAAACAAATAAACGCCAAACATTTGTCCTTATTAAAGAGTCACATATCTCCGCTCGTTCGCAAACACTTCGTAACAGGACAGTTCGGGATATTCGGTAAGTGGCGTCACCCCCTCCCACACACACCCTGAAAATGTGCCTGTATAATTGTGCTTGTGCGTGTTCCTCTTTTCATAGGCCTATTGCTATCCATTTGTCTTGTTCCGTTTTGTTTTGTTTCGTCATAGAGTACCGATGCTGTGACATCATAAAAATCTATTTTTGGAATTTCTCAATTTTTTCTTCATTTTCAGAAAAAGCATCAAAAATAATGCCCGAATGTCGAAAACCAATTGAAAATGTTAAGTATTGGCTGAGATATGACCATCTGAATAAATAGATGTCGTATAGGAACTCAGTGTTATATTGCTCTGGCTCGTAAAGTTATTGGTTTTCGACATTCGGACATCATTTTTGATGCTTTTTCTGAAAATGAAGAAAACATTGAGAAATTATAAATATAGATTTTTGATGACGTCACACTTCACGACTCTATTGGTGAAAGCCTTTTTCTACTTCTATACCAGAAATGAATTATTCGATTTTTGTTTTGTTGTGGGACTACAGGCTTGAGGAGCTTTGGGCCGACGAGTTGATGGAGAAAGGTCCTGAAGAGGCTTCTCTTGGTCGGGTTATGATGCGGCATCTAAGGACACGTCTGATCGCTGCTGGTTTTGTCATATTCTTCGCTTTGGGAACAAACTTTTTACTCAATGTAAGTTATGGGTTGGATATGGTTATATACATACATGTAAATTATATAAATGATGAGGAAGAAAAGATTCATGCCGATTGATCAAGAGTTATAAGTACGTCGAAAATCCGTGACCTATTATAAACTGTTGGATTTAAAGCTGCATGTATCTTCTCTTCACCATTTATTGCGTCATCTTATGCCAAGACGTGGCCGTGGACGTCTTATGCGATATATATATAAATATAAATATATTCGTTTTTATTTGTTCTTTTCGGACCATACATGAGGGAGAGAATTGTCAATTCTTATTATTGTCTCACATCGCGGTACTAAGGGAGACCTTCGAGACAAGGCACTTATTATTTGTTATCCCGGAATTTCGTTCCTATTGACTGCAAAAGGTTCGATATTCATTGTGTTACTTTTTCCACAGACGATCAATGAGTCTGAACCACGAAATCTTTAAAGTAACGCTTCATCTTAAAATTATTTGCGCTATTACATTATTTCAGTTATTAAAGTAATATAAACCCATCGACATTCTATTATAACTATGAAGGTCTGTTTGTAAGTGAATGATTACAACAATAATTTGGACATTCAAATTCTCTTCTCCCAAATGAACGTAATTTATTTACCTGTTTGTATACTAATACTTTTTACCTGAATTATAATGAGTACTTGGTATAATTTCAACAGTTTACAGACAATCGTGAAAGCTTGTATTTATTTATTTTTTAGCCGTACCTGTTCTTCTGCCTCCTCACGCATCTGAACCAGCCTGAGCCAGTTGTATGGTACGCCTTGTGCCTCGCCCTTGGTATGACACTCAGTTATTTGGTGCGTGCCTTCGGCGTCCATTTTGGTTGGTACCTTAGCGTCCGCACTGCGGGGCGCCTGCGCAGTGCAGTATTGATGCTGATCTACACCAAAATATCGCGACTGCGCAGTACGGCGGAGCTTTCTGTCGGGGAGGTGAGTGTCTTGAAATGTGATGTTCAAAAAGAAAAGAAAAACATTTGATATCCTGATGTTTTTACACATGAATGATCGAACTAAATGTAGAATGTCAAAGAAACTTGTACCCAACTACTAGTATCTGGTTTTATTGCAAAACGAAAACGGATAAACGGACGCATAACAAATTACCCACTGTCCTTTTGTTTTGTTTTGTTTAACCATTTTTGTTCTCCTTTAAACACTTCAAATTTTAAGGATCGAGATCGGTCCCTTAATAATCTTGTGCGGCATCAAGAAAATTCTTTAGAAAGTTTTTGTCCAATATATCTATTTTGTACAGCTCTCTAAATTCCCTTAAATATTTATCATATCACAGTCTGCAAAATATCGGCAGATGGTATGCCCGTAGGGAACATGCATCCCTATTTCTTCTGAAATCAAGAACATGTGGATTCTGAAGCAGATGTTTAGGAATCATAGGCCAACTTTCCATGTTGAAACGAGTAGCTTGTTTATTGCTATCTTCTACAGATATGAACGTGTTCGAGAAAATAACAATGAGTTCAAACCTCGCTAGAAATAAAAAGGGAAAAATTTGACATCAGCAAAGTCATGAACAAATAATTAAGAACATGTAACCATTGATTGTAGGCCTCTAGATATGTCACTTTGAAATATGTAGCGATGTTAGTTACTGCTCAATGTAGGATACATCATAATCCGTTAATTCAGCACTGTTTTCAAAATGTTCAGAATTACTTTCCATCATTTGTGTAAACAATGCGTCACTCGGGTGGCAGAAGGGCGTTAGCTCGAATTTCAGGTCAGAAATGAAACGCTATAAGCAGCGGAAGGACGTTAGCACTAAATCGCCTCAAACTTATATAAAACTGACTTTTTTCCGACAAAAAATTGTGGCCGTGTTCTACTATAATATTTCTAGTAGTCATCTAAGTTTTAAACCAATTTTCGGGACGGAAAGCAGTTTGAATATAAAACAAATCTTTAAATGCCAATAATTGGAAAAGTAATATGTGCAGTGATAATGCCCTTATGCCACCCGTGCTTTGTCTTAATTATCTGTCCCATATATTCACGAGTATCTCGATAAAATTCGACGTAAAATAAAAGCATTTCTGATGATGTGCATTTGGCAAAAAAAAAGTCGGAAGCTGTGTACACAGGCGCTAATGTAGTCTCCATTTTGATGTTATAGATTGTAAACATCGTTGTGAATGACTGCACACGTATCTTCGAAGCTTGCCACATGTCCGCCATGTTTGTCAGCGTTCCGCCATTAACCGTACTTCTCTTCATTGGCTGTCTCGTCCTGATGGGGGCTAGTGCACTTATAGGAATACTCACCATACTTGCCTTCTACTTCATCCAGGTAAGGGATGAAACAAATATCATTATAAAATATAATTTTTCCTTTTCGTTCCCTGACTTTATCTATTTTGTTTTACATTCATTTTGTCACAAAACTGCATTGCCGGAGAGGTATAGGATGACGAATGGCGATACATAATTTCATTGCAAGATTAAAATCAGTTTAAGCTTTAATGTTGCTCGGCAACTTTTATTCTGAGACAGTCCCACGGTCCCACCCCGCTCTTAATGAATGTCTGGAGTAGTTGAGACGAAATTCTTTTTTCCAATACACCAGAATGGGACTCCCTTTAATTGCTGTTGGAACTGTAAATGCATCATTACGCCTTAAATTTATTATAACAGTCTAGAGTATAGGTATATAGGCCATTCAAATGATATACATGAAACGGGTCCGAAGTACTAAAGTTGGCCATTTCATATTGGGTTATTAATATGAGTTGACATACAGCTGACTATCCCTATATTTCCATTTCCATTATTTGCTTGCTTGCTTGTTTTTGTTTTCTTGTTTGTTTCTCATATTAAATTTCTTCTCATCAATAACTACATACCTCCTTCTTAATAATGTTTCCCTTCCTCATTCTTTAAAAAAAAATCGCTCTCATTGCTGTCTGCCCTATTTTGGTTTGTCTCTCCGTTACTTCTGTAACTCTCTCTCTCTCCATTCCTCCCTATCTCTCTCTCTCCCTCCCTCCCTCCCTATCTCTCTCCCTCCCTCCCTCCCTATCTCTCTCTCTCCCTCCCTCCCTCCCCTCCCCTCACTCCCCCTCTCCCTCTCACTCCCCCTCTCCCCCTTTCCCTCTCCCTCTCTCTCTCTCTCTCCCCCTCCCCTTCTCTCTTTCGTTATCTCAATCTATTTCTCTCTCTTTCCTTCACAGATCGGGATAGCTAAGCTGACTGCCCGCTACAGACAGGAAGGTGTAGTGATGACAGACAAGCGGGTTCGCCTGATGAACGAGCTTCTGACGTGTGTAAAGCTCATAAAAATGTATGCCTGGGAGGCGCCATTTACCAGAACCATCGCAGGTGACCCAACAGATAATTATATGAAAATATAATGCCTTTTCACACGGTGCTATTTCAATAGGCCATTTTCGTTATGTTTAATTTAATGCATGCATCTTTCTGAAATGTAATGTTATGAATTATTTCTTTCACCTGAATAATTGTATCAATCGAATACAAATTGATTAGTTGTTGCTAGGTAGGGAAAACATGTATTGTCATATACATGAAACCGAGAATTATCGATGTTTTATCATAACTTAGTCACATTTATAGTTAATAAATTACACATATTTGTCAAGCTTAGATCCTCCTCTTTCATTTGATGCAACTCATATGATGCATATTTCATGCATGAGTGATTAAAATAAATTTGAAGAGAGGAAACTAAAGAGTCATTTGGCGGACGTTATCTGAATTCCAAAGAGAAAATCACATTTCTAGAAAGTTGAGTTTCTGCCCTTTCATATGACACCTCAACAAGCAGAATTGACAAAAGACTTAACTCCGTACCGTTGACAAGCATCCATGAATAAGGTCTTTCGTCTACAGCTGATTGTCGACGAAACGGAGTTGTCTTTATGTTCACCGCATAATTTATTACTCTTTGTTATTTTAATTTCTTCAAAACGTTTTACATACCTTGCAGGTATTCGTAAGTCGGAAGGACGCGTGCTCAAGCTCTCTGGATACCTACAAGCTCTGTCTTTTTCCATATCTTTCCTCGTCGCCCCGGCTGCAACTCTTGCCACTATCGTTAGCCACACGTTAATAGGCCACTCGATATCAGCAGCTCAGGTATGCTTACTGTAGCATGTGTGTGGGACGAATCTATAATTGGATATTCATCATTTAGTACATGTATAATTATAAACTAAATTCATGGTTTATGGTTAATAGGTAATGGGTTTTGAAAAACCATCCGATCGCTTTTTGTGTGTATGCCTTATAGTATTTAGTGCTTAATCTACAATACTTTAAAGTGCCTTGCAATTAATTTGCAGTGGGGGGGGGGGGGGGGGGGGTGTAGAGGCCACCGATTACCGACAAAACTAACCACCAATTACCGACAAATATATTACTGCCAATGTCCCAATGTTAAATTAAACCCTATAAACCCGCGGCCAGGAGATAAATTATATTTCAGTTCCCCCCCCCCCTCCCTCCCCCTCTCTCTCTCTCTCTCTCTCGCGCTAAGCTGTACTGTTTTCGACTCTTAATCCTTGTGTATTCAGTTTCCCCTAAGCTTTGACGTTTCATTAGATTATTACTCTTAATCCCTGTCTGAATGCAGTTTCCCCCCTCACGCGAGAAGCGCGGAAGCTTTGACGTTTCATTACATTTTTAGGATAGAAGACGATTTAATTGTTGTACTGTCTTCGACTCTTAATTCTTGTCTGAATTCAGTTTACCCCTCGCGCGGAAGCTTTGACATCTGATTAAATTATTAGGATAGAAGATGATTCGTTGTTCTGTTTTCGACTCTCAATTCTGGTCTGAATTCAGTTTTCCCCTTCCGCCCGAAGCGCGGAAGCTTTGCCGTTTCATTAAAATTATTACCCTGAACTCTTGTCTAAATTAAGTTTTTCCCCCTCCCGCTTCGATGTTTCATTACATTATCAGGATAGATGACGATTCGTTGTACTGTATTCGACTCTTAATCCTTGTCTGAATTCAGTTTCCCCCCTCCCTTTGACGTTTCATTAAATTATTAGAGAAAGAAGACGATTCGTTGTACCGACTCTTAATCATTGTCTGATTTTTCGAAAACGTTTTTTTTTTTGTCCGATAAAAAGTCACAGTTCGCAGGTAAAAAACATTGCAGGCCGACCGACATAATACCTTTCACCGACTTCAAACTTCTGATATTGATATATTGATATAGTACACGAAGATCGAGCAAGAATACCGACATAGCGGACCCAACACAGCAACATGATTATCTATGCGTATCTTTCTTGCTCCCTCGACATGGCGACTCCACGCAACACCCCCCCCCCCCCCCCCTCTCTCTCTCTCTCTCTTACTCCCACCTCTCTTCTCTCAGGTTCTTACCCACCCCCCTTCTCTCCTCTCTTTCACCCCCCGTTTCTTTTTTTTCCCTTTTCTCTTTTTTTTTCTCCCCTTTTCTTTCTTTTCCTTTGTTTCCTGCCTCCCGTTTTTTCTTCATCTCTTTCTTTCTTTCCTTTCTTTTCCTTTTCTATTTTTTCTTTTCTTTCCCTTTCCTTCTCTTTTCCCCGGTCCCCCATTTCCAATTTTTCCCGACAGCAGCACAATTTTACCGACAATATCCTGAAGGGGGGGGGGTGTTGCACCCCCTACCCCCACACATCCCTTTTAGCGACGCCTCTGGTCAAGATAGGTCTTTAAGCTTTTATAATTGAATAAAGTTTATGCTACTGAATGTTCACTTTTTGCATGAACAGAGTGATTTCCACCCCATTACATTTCTCAACATGAATCTTCTCTTACTATCTATCGCCAGGCATTTACACTGATGTGTCTATTCACGGGCCTGACAGTGTGTCTCTACATGATACCTAGTGCCCTCAAACCTATCGTCGAGTCCAGGATCGGTATCCAGCGAATCAAGGTAGGTAGGATATTACACTATACTATACACACCCGAAGACAACATTACTGGAAGTCCATTCAAATTTAAGTCATATGGTGTTTGGGCTTCAAATCTTGAAACAAAATAACACTTTGGAATGTTTTTTGACAAGAAACCAAATGTCATTAGTAGCATTAATTAGCAACAAAATTTCTGGTAGCTGAATGATAAAGATTATATCTTGATTTAGAGTAAGCTTACTTACTTAATTTAAGTTACCCCCCAAAACACCCACCCGCTTCAATCGGATTTGCATTTCAGGCTGTGTTATTACTGAGGGAAAGCGATGACCACGTCGAACCGCCGGATGATCATGACATCGCCATCAAAATGACGGACACCACACTCTCATGGGTTGACCCGGAATCACTCCCTAACGCAACTTCCAGCGAAAACGGAGGTCATGCGGAGCGACAGTATGGTCCCGATGGGAACTCGGCCAACACATCTGGAAGTTCGGATTATGGACCGCGCCTCGAGAGAGATGACGTGCGGCAGGTAGATCGGTTGCTATGGGATTCTGACGTCAATAAATCGTTGCCGTGCGCACTTCGGAATATCAACCTAACTGTAGAGAAGGTATGCTAACAAACTATTTCGAAAAATTCATTGCCAATAAAAATAATGATTTGCTCTGGGGCCTCATCTGTCAAACAGGATTAAACGCAAATGTAAAACTTGACATCAATTAGACTTGCAACTAATCAGAATAACTTGGTAGGCCTACTGGTGTTTTGGGAGTTGCATTTAGTTTTCAACTTTAAATAGTCTAAATATGGTCTCCTGGTTGGCAACAAAATGTGAGATTGACTACATTATTGTAAACTATGGGATAGTTCTAAAAGGAGTTATTTTATAGCATGTATTATAGTTGTACAGAGATGGAACGAACTTGATAGTGTTTCGGGAGCCATCGTTTGTGCTTCAGTACTCCAATGAATAAATGTTGTGACTTAAAATCTCGTTATGGTCACGGTTTTATTGTCAAATGATAAATCTTTTAGTAATTATTATTTGGGGTTTAATGTCCAGCCTAAACAAACGAGACAAGGGGGAAATGTAATACAACTTCGCGTTATCCTGCAGTCCTAAATAGTGATACTGTGATAGAAGAATTAGGTTCTTCATCAAATAAATTACATCAAACTCCTGAAAAAAATATCCATTTCTATGTTATTTATTTCAGGGCAAACTCATTGGGATATGCGGTAGTATCGGGAGCGGCAAGAGTTCGCTGCTCTCTGCCATCCTCAAGCAAATGTACACAATAAATGGCAAAATTGAGAGAGCAGGAACCATCGCATACGCTTCGCAACAAGCGTGGATTATGAACACTACGGTCAAACAGAACATCGTCTTCAATCAACCTTTCGATAGCAAACGATATCGGAAAGCGGTATTCGCCTGTTCGCTGCAACCCGACTTCAAGATAATGACGCATGGGGATAGGACAGAAGTGAGTATGATTATCAGACTCAGCGAAACATATTACAGAAACAGTCTTTGTAAAACTGTTTCAGCAACCACTTGAAATTAAAATAGGTTATATTTTAAATTAAAAAAAATAAAAAAATCATCTGTAAGAAACAGAAATCAAGTTCATGCGATTGGTCGTTCCCAATGGTTCTGCTAAAGCATCCATGATTTTGAAATCCTGTTCTTTTCTGTTTAACAGGTTCTTATTGGAGGAAAGTTTACATATTAACAATCTACAAAGTTTGATAAATAACCGAGAAAAAATTACTGAAACCAAAGGCAAGACGGCTTTAAAGAAAATGACGGTAGAACATTATCTTGTGTTACCTTGTCGACTTTTGTCATGCGATGTTATGAATGATTATTATTAACTTTCTTGATGGTTGGTTTCCTTTGGCTTTATGAAGTATGCATACATTATTTGAATACATCATAAAATGGTTTATTTACATCTCTCCAATACCCTCAGATCGGCAGAGAAAAAAATACACGGGGGGCTCAGGGCGAAATAGCCCCCGAAATGCCCAAAAGAGCCCCCTTAAATCTGCATAGTGTTCAATGCAAAAAAAAAAAATAGAATGTTATTTTCATGCAGGCAAGGTTGAAAAGTAGCCCCCGAAAAATAAATTTTAATTTTTTTCCCCTGCAGATCGGAGAGCGGGGCACCAACCTGAGCGGTGGTCAGAAGCAGAGGATCAGTCTCGCCAGAGTGCTCTATTCCAACCGTGACATCTATCTTCTAGATGATCCATTGAGTGCAGTAGATGCCCATGTTGGACAGCACATCTTCACACATTGTATCAAGGACGCCATGAAAGGAAAGACAACCATCTTTGTCACGCATCAGTTACAAGTGAGTTATCTTTTATTCTTTATTGCCAGAATTTATGAAAAGCGTGTAGTAATGTACAACTATACTTGACACTGTTTCTATACATGATTAGATTTTATATAATATTGCAATCACTTCATGAACTATCGGGTGTACATAAGTAACAAGAAAGAATCATTGTAGCTAGGCCTATGGGGTACAAGGCACAAATCTTGTGTGAAATCTAGCCACCATCTCGGTCCCACCAAAGCCACCATTAGCAGCCAAGAGCCGCAAAGAGTAGCCATAAAGAGAGCTATAAACATGTCGACATCAAATCATGGAACAGCCGATACAAAACAAAGAGACTCCAACAAGATTGCTAGCGCTATTCCAACTGCTTTTTTTTTTGGTGGGAAAGATGCAAGGACATGAATTTCAAGAACTATGACTAAAAGTACAGAAGACAAGGAGCAAGCTTTGATCATCCCTATGGCACTTGTGGCTTTTAGTATATTGGACTTCTTCTCGGCTCTTGGCTGCTAAAAACCCCTGCTAAATTCAAACATACAAATGTAAAAGTTACCTGACCAAAACGAATGTAAGCCATTGATTGCCTCGTAAGTCCATGCATATAAAAAGCGTCTGTGGATTAGGTTTTCAAGGCTATCTAAAATGGAATAGCATGCTTTTTGCAAACATGAAAATAATTACAGTTTCAAGATGTTCATGTCGTAAGGGACATTTTGTCCACAATTTCTTATAGTACTGATATTTCTGATGCTGCAATACCAAGTTTCAAGATGTATCTAATATCAAGTTTCTTCGCGGTACACAAACTATACTTTTTGAAAAATATAGGTATTTCAAGTAATTAGCCTTCAAAATGATTCTGTCAAAATAGTTACTCCTTTTATAGTACACCATTTCAAGTTCTTTATTTGAATCTATCAAAGTCAAGAAATTTACTTCTTAAATGCGATCCTAATCCTAACATTGATGTAGTATTGAGATATATACTAACGGTATAGCAGATTGCAAAAGTGAAAGACAAAACATCTAGAATGATAAAAGTAACATCTTGGTTAGAAATCCATAAGTATACGTCTGGGTATAAAGTCACACTGTAGGCACATATATTTTGAGATAAGACTAGTAATATGAAGGTATAGCTAAACGCTGAAATACTTTCAGCAATTAAATCTTGCTTTCTGGCCAGGAATGAGGAACCTTTATCTTTGGTTAAAATCAGGCCATATGAACCAAATAAGTTTTGCAAACAGTGTCGGAAAGTTTGGCGAGACTCCTCCCTCACTCAGCAAGAGTCGAGACCTAGGCTACACCTATAGGAAGATTCCACAACTTTTCATTTGATTCGAATCTTGAAAAAGTCGATGTATTTATAGCCGTCCCGCTCGAAAAGCAATCCTAGATACTCATCATCGATTTGGGCAAGGCTGGAGTACTCGCTGGGACCCTCGTATAGCTGCATCGCACCGGGCCACGTCTGGCCTGAGTCGAAGCTCCATTGCAGTGTCATGTTTATGCGCGAGTCTGTGTTATAAGGGTGCGAGAGGAAGAGCGTGTTGTTGAGGAGGGCGAGTGACCCAAAGACCGAGGGGTCGACTAGCGCTTCTTGTACGGTGAGGTGCGGGATGAGAAACGAGTAGCCACCGTCGTAACTCAGCGACTGCAGACGACAGTGGCAGTGGAACTTGTTCTCGTTGCGAATAGTGACGAAGACAGTTCCGTTTGAGAGTTCAATAACCTGGAAGAAAATGAAGAAGAAAAAGGGAATAAGAGAAGATGCTAATTTTTGTTTTAAATGATATTTTATTTCCTTCCTCATAATTTCACATAACAAGAAATTCACATAACAAGAAATTATCAAATTAAGCAATATAAAACAAGATCTTTGATACAAGACACTTCATGAGTTACATCAATCAATGAACATAGAAAAAAAAGGAAAAAAAAATTCTTGCATGTAACAGTGTATAATCAAAATAACAGTAGAGGAAGGTTTATAACAGTAGAGAAAGCTAATACACTTGAAAAACCTAATAAAACACCGCCCTCTATCTTTGTTATTCTGTACATCCTGTTCCATGGGAGGCGATGATGTCATCTTCATGATTATGTATCTATTGATTGCAAATTGTTATAATATGATGGTTGAATGAATCCCCAAGTTAATAGTTTCATAGATCAATGTGAGGCCATCATAAAGTGATCAGACTCAAAGAAATGAATTTGAATGGGCTAAAAGCAAACATTACAAACGCAAGAAACATCTATGATTAAAAGTCAATAAGAATGATCAAAGTCCAGTGGAATTGGCTGTATGAAATATAATAATAGCTTGTTCTTTTTAGGAATGCAGACCCTCTCATTTGCTTTACAGATATATATTGTCATCTTGACATTTACTTAGTTGTTAGCTGTTGTAATGTTAATGTGTGGGCTACAATTCAATATTTGCTCTCGGTCTCGTCAAAGATATAGAGTGACACATGTTCACCTCAGCCACATCCAGAAGAATGACATCCCCCCCCCCCTCCAAAAAAAAAACATTACTCCAGAATACAAGGTAGGTCTAGAGTAAGTATGGAGTTGGAGGCAGTTTGGCGGAGTGACAGAGGTATCTGTTGTAAGAGTGGAGCAGGGCTCCCACCTAGCCGAGTTGGAGCCTTGAGTTGTGGCGAGCTGGCGCGAGCTTATGGCAAGCCGTTTTATCATTAAAACCTATTTCTTGAAATCAAGAATTCAGTTCTTGATATCACGAAATCGAATTCTTGATATCACGAATTCAATTCTTGATATCAAGAATTAACATTGCTTTACAACGTAAAAAATATTTTTTGATATCAAGAATTGAATTCTTGATATCAAGAAACATGTTTTAATGATAAAACGGCTTGCCATAAGCTCGAGCCAGCTCGCCACAACTCGAGGCTCCAACTCGGCTAGGTGGGAGCCCTGCTTTAGGACTTTTGTTTTAGGTAGATGGTTAACACTAACAGACAAAATAGAACCATAAACTGTCTCTATATTACTTCTTATGACAAGCTATGTCATCACTTCTATAGAAGGTGTTATTTATCATCAACAAGAATTACTAACGCTCATATAAAGCACAGAGACCCACATTTTTCTGTGTTCAAAATCATGTTGTACGTACCTGTGTTTCGCCTGGTGTGAAGTCACCCGTAATGTGTTTTTGAGCATACGGTAAGCCATAGAGAGGGGAGTTCATATGCCATGTCTTGCCGTGATCTAGATATTAAGAGGGGAAAGGAAGGAAGTTTTATCACATATAATGCCATATTTTCTATAGTACTTTTTTTGTCTACTGTTTACGTTTTGCAACACAAAATGAATGATATGTAAACTTACAAACAATGTAGAGGTGGATTTCTAAAGGGAAAGACATCACAATACATACATACATACATACTTGTAGTTTGGTTTAATATACCTAGTAGTTTCTGTCCAGTTTGGTACTTCTGGTTATAGCATTGTAAACTACAGGCTGGTAAACTAAGTACCTGTTATTGCACTCAACTCTATAGCTTCAGCATTTCTTGATATATTGATTATTTCATTATGCATTCATAATTATCAAGATTCACTGAAACAAATCCGTGCAGGAAAGTGCATGGGAAAAATATGAATCTATAAAAAAGTTTAAAGGGAAATCCAACAAGTTGCCTGGTGAAGGTTTTAATCTCGAATTGGCAGTTTGGTCAGTAGACTGTGACTTGACTTAGACGGGGATAACTAACCCATTTGTCGAACAACAACAAAATATAAACAAAATTATCAATTTCCATTTTCCTCACAAGTTCCTTCTACTTTGGGGCTCTACTCGAAATATATCATGGGTAGCATATTTTTATAGGTCCTCTAAAGAGAAAAGACCCTCCGAAGTCATACATTTTTGAAAAATTGAAATTTTAGTTGGATTGCCCTTTAGTCACATTTATTTTTTAGCTTTTCATGCATTCTATTCTTTATCAAAATCTTGAAAACACCAGAATATCAATAATTACCGTCGCTGTATATGCACTGCATTTGGTAAAAGGCAACATCAACATGATGCCCGCAACCGATCAATCTCCCTTTGTTTGGCTCCAGTTCTTTCTGGATCCCAAAGCCTGGACCAGGAGCCCACGTTATCCCCTCCAATGCAGAATTTGTTTCTTTGACGTTGATTGCAGGGGTCCACGTATATCCCCAGTCACGGCTTATCTTGAAATAGACCCCCTTCTCTCTGTAGGGTGACGTGCACGTCCCCGGTGTGTGCTGGCAATATCCAAAGAATACATACGTGGTGTTGGTAATTTTGTCGATTATCACAGAGCCGAGGTTTAGCCCGTCTTCGACGTCATAGTCATCCTCGATTATCCTAGTCACATCCCAGTGCAATCCGCCATCTGTGGATCGCCGGAGCGTGATGAATTTTGCAGACTTGTCGGCGCTGGTGTTCTTGCGGGGTGCGGAGAAGGCCAAGAGGTCTCCTGTCGGAAGCTTGACGAGGATTGGGGTTCGATAGGTGTGTACTTCTCCCTGCTTCTGAGACACCCATAGTTCTTGTTTGTGGGTGATGACGGGAGATAGGGTGTCGCAGGAAGGGAAGAAACACAGAGAAATGATAACAAGTATCCCACCAATGAAGTCGGAAGGCTTCATCCTTGCTTCAAGGGCTAGGCTTCAGTGTGGAGGGTCTACGATATTGTTCAAGAAGTCAGCAACAGGGATGATTTGTTCTTGTAAGCACTATGTGATGCATTAAGTCAGCTTCTGAAATTAGAAGAAACAAAGACGTGAACGCAACAAGGTCTGAACGCAACCATTTCACTATCATGTCTCTTATCCATTATATTTGATATTTTGGCAACTTCATCCTATCACAGTCTCTTACAACCAGTGAGGTAATGTTGAGTGAGATGAGGAGGGCTGCTAGGGCATCTGATAATATAAAAGGAAAAAAAAGACCCACTTCATGGCATGGATGTAGAATTAACCCCCCCCCCCCCCCCCCCCCCTTATTATAATAATAGCTCACATTTATAATGCGATTAATACTTTGTTTCTAGGCGCAGTACATATTATTACCCGTCATCAGATTCAGGCTTACCAGCACACAATGTATGCACATTCTCCACTTCCTGGGGAGCATTCCAGCCAGTCACCATTTATTTCACAAGTGCCACTTGCTCATCGATCCAACCACATATAACGTTCTCATCCTACCTAGTACCCATTTAAATATAGGTGGAGAGTGGGAAATGAAGATTAACGTATTGCCAACATTATATTAGTGCTGCGGCGGGACTCAAACTAGTACCTTGCAATCTGCAGTGGGCCAACTTATCCACTAGATCTAGACCACAACACCTCTATCATCTTATAGTTGAATATACCATTGATGATATCATGTGCAAAAGTTCTCAGAGTGATGATAGGCCGGTACTTGTTATTGAGACTACCTGGTACAGTGGTAGTCAGTCGGAGATTTTATTTTATTTTATTTATTTACCAACAGCAATACATACATTTCATACAATGAATTTTGGAGTTCGGTTCAGCAGCCTATCCACGCTCTCAACACCAACACCAACACCAACACCGACCACCCTATTTGGTCTAGTTAATTAGTCATATCAGGGATATGAGAGTTTAGTACAGTACACAGTACGTGCACGCACGCTTTGTAACCTAACTCCGGGAGTTAGTTGTAACCATATTCACCCGTGGTCTTAATTTCATAAAAAGGAATAAACTGTCCTGCACACAAACCTTACCGTCGTTTCTCTGCCCTGGTCCGGGTTCAGTGATGAGCTGTATCATTCGCCATTCTTTGTAGTCTACAACGGAGTTTACGAGTTGTACAACAGCACCGAACAACATAACGTGTGTTCAAGCGTCATGTTTGCACACATTTTTGTATCGCCTTCTTGTTTGCTCACATGACGTGGTCACGCCCACTTTTCCCGTTCCCAACTACTAGTCTGCAGACACAAACCCTTTTTTTTAGTTTTACATATCCCGTAACATGGATTGCGACAGAACTATGAAGAAAAAAAGGTCTACTGCACTTCATAGGCCTTGTATTAGAGCTGCTCCTTATTTGGCACAGCCAGAGAATTATATCATGCCCAATTCAAGGCTTTATTATAGAGTCTGTGCTTTGCAGACTATCAGCGAGGAGCTATTCTTATTTTGTTCAAGCCTGAATGAACACATAACAAGGGAAACGCTCTCGGCGGTCTCGCCTGCATGAACGTCAATGACGTAGCGCTCATCCGCATCTCGCAACAACAAATATCGTAAATTTTATGTGGTACACTTTAGAACTGGTCAAAAAATAAAAATTTGATGCCCTGGAAGAGACATACCAGTAATTTCATTTCATTTGCATAAAGTACCGTAAATAATCAATGGAGCAAATTCTCACAATTCTGTGTAGAAGTTTAGTGTTCCAAATTTAGTTCTACCAGATAAGGCAAACCAAATCAAAATCGGTCAAGAAATGAGGGAAAAGAAGCAATTTTTGTTATTTTTGGAATAAATTTGCATAAATTACCATAATTAATTAATGGAGAACAATTTCAAAATTCTGTGTAGAAGTTTGGTGTACCAAAGTTAGCTCTACGATATAAAGCAAACCAAATCAAAATCGGTCGAGAAATGAAGGAGAAGAAGCCTTTTTTGTGATTTTGAATAAATTTGCATAAATTAGCATAGATAATGAATTTCACAATACTGTGAAGAAATTTTAAATCCCCCTCCTATAGCCCTATCATATGAAACAATCAGAATCAAAATCGGTTGAAAAATAACGAAGAAGAAGCATTTTGAAAATCTTGATGTTGATGCCACAAAGTCTAAGTTTGTTGACCTTAAATGACCTTTGAGCTTAACTTAGTGACCTGAAATTCTACTCACATGATTGGGGAGACTTGATAACCCTATAGTCCAAGTTTCATTGACTAAGAACTAATTATACTTTCAAAATTATATCAAAAATTAAAAAACTTAACCTTAGGTTAAGTTTTCGATGATGATGCTACAACATAGTCCAAGTCTGTTGACCTGAAATGACCTTTGACCTTGACTTTGTGGTCTCAAATTCTACTCACATGATTGGGGATACTTGATTACCCTATAGTCTAAGTTTCATTGACTAAGAACTTATACTTTAAAAATTATATCAAAAATTCAAAAACTTAACCTTAGGTTAAGTTTTTGATGTTGACGCCGCCGTCGCCGTCGCCGCCGTCACCGGAAAAGCGGCGCCTATGTCTCGCTTTTTGCTACGCAGGCGAGACAAAAACTCATTTACGCGCGGTGGGGCAGTGCAGCGAGACATAATTATAGACCATATAAAAAAAGAGCTAAATGCAAAAGGGTCCGACATTTTACTCCAAAGTTCTCACTTCTTTATTTTATAAAACATTTTTCATCGATGGGAACGTCATCATAATCATGATTGTTTTTCTTGGTTCTTTTTTTTTTAAATCCCCCTCCCCCTTCTCTCTCTCTGGATCAAAGTCCTGTTCAACAATGAAAATTCAGTACACGTGTAGGAATACGAATCTTGGAAATGTCATGCTGCATAGGCCTAATATTATTCGACCTTGTATTTTCTTGTACCCCCCCCCCCCCCCCCGGTTTCTCTCTCTCTCTCTCCGTGGACTTTGGTCTCTTTGGGGGATTTAGCTACATATGAACTTCTATATATCAACATAATACTTGGACCTGATACAATTTTCTTTTTTTCCTTCTGTTCCCGACTTTTCTCTTTCTCTCCCTACATAACTCTCTCTCTCTCTCATTCTCTGTTTGGTTTGATATGTTTTGGAAACCTCATGGTTTGGTGCGTATAAATAAACATACTAATGATAAAACCATGTCACTCTAGAATGCCATAAAAAATTAGTTTTCTTCTCAGAGACAAACAGTTGTCATTATTCCGGCAAACATCGTCAAAGATTTTAGGAAAAAACGATGTGATATTGCCACGTCATAGAAGCATTCTCTTTAGGCAAAACATAAACACATGTTTAAAGAAAATTCTGATGTGAAATTGTATTCGTTGGGATTTTGGATCGTAACTTTGAATATTGCACACTTTAAACCTACGTGAGAATAATAAAGCAAACGTATCAATGTATAGGCCTATCCAGAATGAACCTTCCATACTCTGAAGGTAAAGTAGTCACCCTCACATATTAAAAAAACATGATAATTAGCTAAGTTTGAAAAAGGCTGTTGAGGATGTGATTTTATACGTTGTGATCTATAATTTTGTATATGACCATTTGTCTCCAACATTTATGCATTACAAAATAAGAATATGTATCTACCATATTACACTAGTGATATAACCTGTGTGATATTTAAGAGAAAAAATGAAAGAAAATGAATACATGTACTTAAATAATCCCTACCTTAAAGGTGAAGACCAGTTTTAAAAATGCCCCCCCCCCCCTCCCCCTCTCATAAAAATTGAAAAGGAAGCTCTTAATACCAATCATGTGAAAGAATATGTTTTGACTAATACGTGATGATACAAATTTTGCCGGGAAACTTTACTGATACATTCTGTAAATTTGGTAAATTATCATATCGATCCAGCCTGGATAGATATAAAAAATGCACTTCAACAGTGAACTTTTGGGCATATATTTCTAATTTTTTGCGAATTCAGGTTGAGGTATTGCCATCTTAACCTCTGAAGGCAATATTTAAACAAAATCGAATGGATATTTTGCACCCAAAACCGTTGAACCGCAATTTTACCACTACCGGTCTTTACCTTTAAGTGACATATAGCTGCACACCAAAACATTAAATTGGATTAATAAAACAAAATGTACGGTTTTTCTTCGGTTACACTTTTGAGAGAACAATAAAAATGCATTCAAGAGAAAATTTTCAATTAGAAATGATATACATGTATTAGTGATAATAATGATAATCATATTGTTATACAAAAGGATTCTCATTAGTCTAGTAACAAAACCTTTGAATTAAAATACACACTAAAAATACACTTTAGTTTTAAAGCCCCAACTGTCCTACTTGTAGCTACTTTCTCCCTCTATATAGAAAACTTCCCTAATCAGTGCCTGTTGGTCCCCCATGATCCTCTATTTCTTATGTTATTTGAGAGCTGAGTTGATGAGATAGCCACCTGCCAGTGACCGCGCTGTGTGGTCTAATTCCTCCTGGCCAAACTAGTGCAGATAAGCTTTAAAGTGTAACAATCACCAAGATACGTTTTGCTCTTGATGTAAGAGGTTCCATGTTTCTATACTGTTGTCTAAAAACTGCAAATATATCTCTTACTAAGAAATACTGTGCAGTTTAAATCACTCCCTGTGAACTGTAAAACATCTTGTTGAGTAGACTTCTGAACGCAATGTGCGTAATCAGAGCCCAAGTTGGACTTGGGTTCCGTGGGAGCCCTATATACACAGGCTTTTATGTTATAATCCTTTGTCTTCTTTATAGTCCTTAAAGATACTATGTCCCTTTTGCAGCCAACATCAAATTCTGTAGAACTTTGCAGGAATTATGATTATGTCATATTGTCATGTATGTCCTATCTGTGAAATTTAAACGTTAGCAGCGTCCTTATATTCAAATTATGCAAGAAAATCTGTTTACTTTCAGACTTCACTGTCAGACACTATTGAGTGACTGACTGGCTTTTTTTCTTCTTTGGTAATAACATCCATAAAATTAGCTGTAAAGGGTACATAAGCATTTGTCTACATCAATAACCCACTTCTTGTAATGGCGAAAATTAAACTGATTGAATCTTTGCCCAACAAAAAACGTACGACCATTCAATACAATGGTCTGAAAATCAGACTATTACTTACTGGCTCTATAGCTCTTAAGTTGATTCGACAACTAATAGTCGTTATTTTCCCACTTAAAGACATTTTCAGGCCCCACTATTTTTAGGGAAGTTCTAAATTAGAATTATTATTCAAATGCCGTTGGAATTTAACCTTTTCATTTTTTTTTGGCCTGCAAATGGGACATAGTACCTTTAACAGTTAACCTATAAATTGCAAGGTGAATTTTTAAAAGTTGATTTTATACATTCTACATACATATATATATATACATATTATTTGTTCAGGTGCTTGGTACATAAAATCTGTCTCATATAGCTTCAATCTTTTTCAAATACAAGTATGTGTTATTCTTGGATCTTTTAGTGATAATAAAATAAAAGCCAAAAATGCTTTAATATCATGAGCCACATCTTTTTCCTTCTAATTTCTAGGAAAAAAAAGACATTTTGGACCACATTTCATGGGGTATTTGGGGTATAAAGTGCATATAATAGAACAAAGTTTTAAAGAATAAAGTGAAAGTCAGCTGCAAAGTTCTAGATACTGGAACACTTACATTTGATTTCTCATGAGAAGTGTCACGATTACAAAGCACAGGTTAAAAAAACAAAAATGCAGTGGAAACTTGTTATGAAGAGCTCAGATATAACGAGATACCTGATTCAAGATAGTTTTCTGGTCCATTCTGTTTTTTCACTGAAATATATCAAGATACTTGATACATTCATAGTAAGGTAATTTTCATGGATCCAATATCCTTGTTATAACAAGTTTCCACTGTAGATAAAATGCTGAAAGGCTTCATCGGGCTTCGCTTATAAGTATTAAGGCTCAAGAGCCCATTGCTATAAAGCTGGTCAAAGTGCACGTTAAAGACTAGAGATTAAGTTGGATTCTCACATATGAAATAGAACTGATATTATCTTTCTCATACACCAATCCAATGTGATTTTCATCAATGTAAGTAAGACATGAATATGCACTACCCTTCTCATAAATATTCATGAGATTGGGATAGGTGTTCCCCGCGTCCAGGCTCCAATGAAGTGTGAGGTTGACCCGTGACCCAGCATTGAAAGGGTTACTGAAAAATAAGATTTGATTGTCGTTGAAGTTCAGGAGCGAGCCGCAGACGTTGGGGTCGATCAGCTCTTGTTTCATTCTCATCGAAGTCATGGGGAATGTCGACCCACCATCGAAGCTTAACGCCTGGATGCGGCAATTGCAGTGAAAGCTGTAGGTATTCCGCACGTTAGCCAGGATCGTCCCATTCTTCAACTCGACGATCTGGGTGAGCATTGAATGACAAGGTGGAAAAACACAAGATAAGAATAGAAAATCTAGAAAAGAATTCTTAGGTTGGCCGGAGACATGATGCTATGGATTCCTGGATTGAGTTTGATTAATGTGTACTGAAATGGAGTCGTAACTCAACTTCAAAAATATGCACTTTTTTGATTATCAGGTACATTTAGTTCCATTTTCACTTCTTTATTACTTGTAGTTGATAAAGAGAGAAAGTCCTGCCGTGTTTAAAGCATGGCATAACATGAACAGAGCAGTGATCAGATAACCATAGAAGTGAGTTACTAGAAATGGCATGGCCATGATTGATAACACACTCCTGCCAGCCAAACAATGATATGCCATGACAGCTACAGCTAAGGTTTGTGTACATGAACGTCCAGCACCTAGGGTTGGATATTAGGATAGTGTTAGGGTTAAATTTAGGCTTGAGTCGGTACGGTCGATCACACCGGGACCCGACCGTTGCCGTCGGGTCCCGGTTTCGTTTTTTGAGAACCGGCGCTCCGAAAAAAATAATGAAATATGTAAGAAATTGCAGTTTTGCACACCATTAAAATCAATCCACCCTAAAACTTAAGTATTTAATTGTTACCAATCGTATTCTAGCTCATCCAGAATCAATCCGAACTGCTGATATAAATATGGGTTGCAAAGCAGTTCGCCCCATGGGGTTGTTGTTGCCAGCTGCTAGCTAGCTACTGTACTGGCCGGGTCTCTCGGCAGTATTAATTATAAATCAGGTTGAAAGAAACATTAATGTTTGAATAATAAAACGACTTTCTAAAAAGTACTTCTTTACAACATACCGATCGAATAATTTTTAAAAGACAAAATATATATTTTTTCTTTGATTTTGAACACCGCATGCTTCTTTTAAAAGCTGAAAATGACTTGGTAATCACAAGAAGTTTCGATACGGATAGCTGTTGCAATGCAAGTTGAGACTAGTCTCGGAAAATGCGCAGTGCTCCTTGTTAGCTATAATGCGTGCCAGAACGAACCCAAACAAAGACGTGATCGTAACGAGAAAAAAATCATTAAAAACTACGAGAGCACAATTGGAAAGACAACTACTCAAAATTATCGTAAGCAGATACATAACTTGGAGGAAGAATACAATAGTTGTCCAAGAAAAGCCACATAAATAGTGATATTTAATGAGTTACTATAGGTACAATCATTATCGGAAGGGCCTGCATGCTGCAATATATCTAAACGTGTTTAAATTGAACACGAGGCAAATACCGCCCTCTACGGTAAAAAGCAGTATAACAAAGGATTCGAGTATTTGCAGCTAGCAGGCCCTTTGCGATAAAAATGTACCCAGTAACTCCTCGATTATCACAATTTCTGTGGCATTTCTTGGGCGATTATTGAATTCTTTGTCCAAGTTAAGTATCTGATTATGGTAATTTTGAGCAGTATATCTTTCCAATTGTGCTCTCGTAGTTTTTAATGATTTTTTTCTCGTTACGATTACGTCTTTGTTTGGGTTCGTTCTGGCACGCATTACAGATAACGAGGAGCACTGCGCATTTTTTTCGAGACTAGTCTGAACTTGCCTTGCAACAGCTATTCGTATCGAAACTTCTTGTGATTACCAAGTCATTTTCAGCTTTTAAAAAAAAGCATGCGATGTTTAAAATAAGAGATAAATATTTATTTTTGTCTTTAAAATATTATATGATCGGTATATTGTACAGAAGAATTTTTAGAAAGCCGTTTTATTATTCTAACATTCATATTTTTTGACCAGATTTATTCAACCTGCATAAATCAAAATGGCGGCTCGATTGTAGTCTTTATATTTTTGCTCGAGTTTTTTTACTTTTAGAGGCACGATAATGGCACTAAACATCGCCAATCATGGATGAATATAATGTCAAATGGAAGAATATACCAATCTGTGCCGAGGTATGCATGTGTTGATTTATTTGACTGATAAAAATGTCACTTTTAAGGGACATACTGATGATATGCGCTTTTTATAGAGGCAAGTGACAAATCCTGCGAGCTGATTTCGGGACACCGGGTCCCGACCGGTGCAAGGCCGTCGGGACCCGGTTTATGAAAATCCCGACATGACTCAGGCCTAGTTAAATTATTACCTAAGAAACTCAATTGTTTAGATTTTAATAGAGTTTCATTGACCAGGCCTTGGACCTTGGTTAACCTACATGTATGAACATCTGGTCAATTTTTGTGATGGGGTATTCTAAAGTTGCTCCCAAAGTATTTTACCTGTACTTCACCTGGTACAAAGTCCCCAGTTTTCTTGGTCTCTCCAAATGGAAGGCCAGCCAGTCCCAAACTTAGCTGCCATGTTATACCACCATCTGCAGTCAGAGAATAAACAGTCATTAGTACTTAAAAGTTCAAGTTAGAATAGACGCACTCGATATTAACCTTTATTATGATCAATCAACAAATTTTAAAATGCATTATCTCCTTTTCAAATTTTCACATATAAGTCCACCATTTTATCTGATGTTATTCCACACTTGCAATTTTGAATAACACTCACAAATAATTTGTCCTCCTCTCAGAACTCAACCTTCTCTTTAACTTAACAATGACACATCACACATGTACAGTATCAACGTCTTATTCAAAATTGAAATTAAAATAACAAAATAAATGTACTGGGTAATTTAACTTCAATCTTTTCCAACACGTGAGAGTCTACATCATGTATGATAGAGATAGATTTACAAAGCATGTGCATAGGATGATGAGAAATTCAATTAAGAATCATATGATTGGCTCCATCCTGAAATTAATATTTTGAAAAGGTTTCAACAAGCTAGATTTGTAAATTTAGACTAATTTTGGGACCATACTCACCGTCGCTATGAAGGCATGACATTGACCGCACCTCTGCATCAGGGCCGTGTCCACAAGTCACCAGTCTGCCTTTATGAGGAGGGTGCTTTTTCTGGATCCCATAACCTGGTCCAGGATCGAAATGTAGGTCCATAAGCTCTGGGTTCTTCTCGGCTAGATTGACAGGATCGGACCAAGTATAACCAAAATTGGAACTGGTCACCATGAAAACTCCCGACGGCTTTTCTCCGGTGCCATTGCAAACTGAATGAACACAAAACGTGTGAATCAAAATGGTACTGTTCGTCACACTGTCAACCAGAACTGTTCCAAGATTCAATCCGTCCGGAATTTTGTAATCGTTGAGAATAAAAGTATTTTCTCCCCACGACTGACCTCCGTTTGAAGAGCGTCGCATGGCGATGAACTTCGCCCCAGCATCGGCGGCGCTGTACTTTCGCGCTTCGCTAAACGCGAGGAGGTCTCCATTCGGCACTTGTATGATAATGGGAATTCGATACGTTGAAACTTCGCCTTCATCCGATGATTCCCATATAAGTTGTTCTTCTAACACGAATGGATTTATGGAGTACGTAACTGAGACTAAAATGCTTGAGATAGTTAATAACAAACTTTGTTGAACTGTCAGTTTTGCCATGTTTTACATTGTTGAAAACAAGGGCTTTAGAAAATATTTCGTCGAGAGGGCTAGGCGGTGGGAAGCGACTGTAATCATGTGACACGATTGCGCTGTAAACAAAGGTCAGGTGTTCTTGTACAACCTCATCTCCAAACATAATCACAGCGTAACACTAGCTATGTAGTCTGCAAGCACAGATTGTTTTTGCCATACGCAAAATAAATTTGTCGAGTCATGTATGCATTGAATACCTATTGTAATTTTAAACAAGGTACACTTTCGGTACAAGGTCCAGCAAAATGATTTTTCAATAGTCAGGCAAAGCTATTGTCACTCAGAATGTGGTAAGAAAAAAATCCAAGAAGTAAACCCAATTTGTTTTACAGGATTACTTATAGCAATATAGGCTCGATAAGTAGTATGCAGGTTTGTAAAAACAAACAATATATAAGTTGATTCTTGGGACATCTTTGTGATAATCTTTTGGTACTGATAACTGCATGTTTCGTGGTTTTGTTGGTGTCTTTTATTTGTTTTGTTTGTTATGAGATTTTTAAAAAATGAAGGTGCGCATCAAACAAAAATTGGCAGCCCTTTGACATATCTTGCGAGGTTCCTGTACTAAAAATAAGTAAATTGAACATAAATTCACCCTGTTGCAAATATGTTTTATATAGGCCTAGCCCCTGTATGAAACAAATCTATCCCATCATCAATAAAATTAATATAAAATCAAAAGTTTAAGATATATTCTATGTGGAACAAATTGAAGAGGACCTCGCAAGATACGTCACAATGTTGCTAATTTGTGTTAGTATATATGACAACTTCACAAATTCATAACTGTCATGTTTTTCATCGGATATTGCTAAAAACTTTCACAAAAATTGTTTTTATCAGTTTTCTGCCCTTATTATAAAAAACTTGAATTCAGGGTGGACTTCCCCTGCCTTTAATAATATGGTTATACTTATAGTGCAGGATATTAACCCCAGCTGGGCAACGCTCGGCACACTGTTTGTCATGCAACCGATTTGTAATGATGAGGCGATTAGAAACTTTAAAACAATAAAAACAACACGGCAACGGCATGACAACTTTATAGGAGACCTCTTTATATTTATTTCTTTGGCAGAAATACATTATTTCAAGACTGCATAGATAGAAATACACCTTTTGTCAAACAAATACATGAATAACCGACAATTCCAAACACACAAGAAATAACATAAATACATGTATATATATATATATATATATATACATGATTACATGTAGAAGTAACTAGTAAAAGTGAAATTCTGCTTTAGAATACTTTGGGAAATAGAACAAGTTGAAATTAATAAATAAATTCTTCTCTTCCAACTTCTAAAACTTTGAATTTTCACCCATAGGGGCTTCATCGGTAAATAGATAACCATTAGACTCTATAGAATGAATACAAGATTACTTGTGCGAACTATTCCGTTCTATTGCACATAAACTCATGAGACAGTCTTCTAGTGAAGTATAGAGTGCCAAGCGTCAACCTTGTCATCCTATTAAAATTACCATTCTACGACATATTTAATCACTTATGAACGTTTCATTTAAAGAGAAACAGGTCTATAGAGGTATGTACACTGTACATTCAGTATGAATACTGCTCGACCGAAATCGCAATGCACAGAAAAAAGTTAATCATCAGTTATGAAATTGAGTTCATCTTTTCATGTCATTTCATAATTTCATGACACATAACAGTAGTAAGGAGTAAAAGGTCAACACTTGGCGCTCGATGAATCAGTGAATCAAATTCAGTCAGTTTAACTACATGTAAGTTCAATATAATGAATACAGGTTATACACTGTAGTACTGGGTACACATATAATTATTCACTAGTACAATAACTATGGGCCTCAATACAAGTACATGAAAGACAAAAATAAATATCTAACTTAAAACTTAATTACACAAGGCCCTATGATCCCATAAAATGTTGTTCCATAATTGACAATATTTTGCATTTACACTGTTACACATTATTACATCTTTAATATGTATCTTAAATCTGCTTTTTTCAGAAAAAATTCATTCAGGGCACTCTTTTCAGAAATAAAAAGTTTTGTGTCACCCATATCCAAAATTCATCGCAGCATGTTTCGCGAAATGGACGTTATTTCCACCAAAAATTAATTATGTCAATTCATTTTTTCTCATACATACATGACTACATGTACAATTGTCTAAACGAAGAGAAAAAAAACATATTGTCAACTTGTCATTGCAGTGACCAGTGATTGGCAGTAAACACAATCATTTACAGCATTTTTGTTCTTCTTTTATTTGTCACTTCTGGGAAAGGCATGACCTTCTTTAGACATCTTTAGACATCTTTAGACATCTTTAGACATATCTTTAGACATGTACATTACCACTCCAATATATAACTTTCCAATGAGGTGTCATTGTATGAGCACTTTCACATGTAAATAGATGTAGAAGGCTAATAAATCTTATTTTAATGTTGATTATTAAAATCAGACAACACTCACATTGACCCTTTTTTGGCTTAGAGCAACAGAAACAATAAAACACATGTATCAAAGCAATGGGAAGTCTTGTCAGCATTTAGAGTGCCTGTTTTCCCTGATCTTCATAATTTTGTTTTTCTACCTTCTAATCTAGCACTTAAAGTGATAAACTTCTCATAAAACTCTACCGGTATTCAAATTCATTTTCAACTTAAACAAAATCAGTTATTCATCTAAAAGTCATGATGATTTTTCATTGGCACTGATTAGATAGAAATTAGACAATAAAAACACTTCAGGGAAAAAAATATATGGGGGCTCAGGGCCAATTAGCCCCCAAAATGCCAAAAAGAGCCCCCGAAAGTCATAAAAGAGCCACCAAAATTGCATAGAGTTCAATGCAAAACAAAATAAAGAGTGTTATTTTCATGCAAGCAAGTTTGAAAAGTAGCCCCTGAAATTGTTAAAGTATTTTTTTCCCTGACACACTTCCTTAAAGTACTGAGTGAAAATTGTTACCATCTCTGTCCTTTTCAAGGGTTCAACTGAATCTTCAGGAATGAAATGTATTCGATATCATTCTTTTCGTACAACATACCTATATGATTCTCATCGATCGTCGTCAGACACGAATAGCCACTCCCCTTTGGGTGGATGGTGAAATAATGAGGATAAGTCTCCCCGGAGTCCGTGCTCCAGTGGAGCGTGAGGTTGGTGCGGCTCTTTGCATTGAAGGGGTTGCTGAAGAAGAGAGTGTCATTGTAGTTGAGCAGCGAGCCGCAGACCCGCGGGTCGATGAGTTCTTCTTTGAATGTGACTTGAGGCAGGGGGAAGGTCTCTCCGCCATCAAAGCTCAAAGCCTGGATGCGACAGCTGCAGTGAAAGGTGCGCTGGTTGCGGGCGTTGATCAACAACGTACCGTTCTTCAGTTCGACAACCTGTATAGAAAATCATGTAAAAAGATGTTGCGATTCTTTGAAATGATGGCTTTCAGAGTTTCTGTGATTATGATTAGAGACAAAACAGGGCAGGATTGAAGAAAAAAAGATGTCACACACTTTTCTGGGTCTGCATAAAAGACGATCTATCTCTGCCTTAACTGTACAATGTACATTCATGCAAAATGTAAAACCAAAGAGTCACATGTTAACATCATTTGGATGACAAGCAAGACAAATGGTTGTCAGATTTTCCAGGTGACTTTTGTGCCATTTTCTTGTTTATGTATGTGACATTCCAGAAGAATAACTGGAGGTGGCTTGATGGTTCTTGCTGTCATTTTTTTACACATATCTGACAGTGCCTTGCTTAACCACTTGACTGCTCTTGGCTTTAAACACGTTCATACCCCCTGTGCTACAGCATTTTTGTACTGTACAAAAACCTGACAAAAACTGTACACTGTACAAAAAAAAAGCCATTTTTTTTGTGGAAAAGCACCATCTACTGTTTAACACCTGGGCTGCGTCTCACGAAACGGTCATAAGTACAAGTTGAGCGACATCCCATTGAAATGCGTGTTAAACTTAATACACGCATTTCAATGGGATGTCGCTCAACTTGTACTTATGACGGTTTCGTGAGACACAGCCCTGTATAACATCATTGCAGTGCTAATTACACAGTAGGGCTAGGTATTATGCAGTGCTACGGTCTTGACAGTGCAATGCTCTAAACACGTACATGTACGTGGTGCGCACAGGCAAGTGAGAGCAAGACCACGTACATGTACGTGGCACGCAGCCAAGTGGTTAAATCCCCACTCCAACAGTGAAGATGGTTCTTACCTGTACTTCTCCAGGTACAAAGTCACCAGTCTTCAGTACGCCTGTCTGTGGCATGTTTAATATTCCAGAATTCATCCGCCAAGTCAATCCTTTGTCTAAAAAACAAACAAAAGCAGAAACAAAAACCAACAAGATTATAACAAGTAAACAATGACTGTCACTTTTTACGAAACACACAATGCACAGTTCACCCTAAAAGTTATTTGATATCCAAGGTACAATATATCAGGCCACAAATGAATATGATGACTTATATTGATTTATGGATAAACATGAAAATTTAAATTAGGGAGGCCAATGCCCGGGCGTAAGGCTTCTACGCCTACGATTTGTGCGCTCGTCGCCCACTTCAAAAAATTAGCAGAGGGAAAAAAATGATGTAAAAAAAAAAAATGATGAAAATAAGAAAAGAAAATACAATTATACATTTCACAACATACCTATAATCACGGATCTGTAACAGTCTTTCACCATTTGTTGACGATCTTGCAGATTTTGACGTATTTGAGTCCAATAATTGTCGTAGCAGAACAACTTTACGGACGCGCATCACAGACTAAGAAAATCCTAGAGGGCGTAGAGGTTTGCTCACTAAAAACCTTCTCATTGGCTGAAGGTAGACCCTAAAAATATGGGATCCGTTTTGAGTAAAGAACTTTTGATAGAGATCAACATTTCAGATGTTCACAATTGCCACTTCTAACAACTAGAAAATATAAAGAAAAAAGATTATATCTTTTTAAATACAGAATTTTACAAACTGAACATGCGAAGGTAGATAGAGTACGATGATTATGACAATCTTGCGTTGGTTTGAGCCCTATAGCTACAGCCATCTCAAAATGAGAAGGAAAACTGTGACCGGTGACGTCATTGTTCGCGCCAAAAATAAAGGGTATTGCGACATATGTCTGAGCTCCACTGAGCCTCCGGTCAGATCGTGCGCAAAGCGTAGTCTTATTTATAGACCCTAGTACCTTATTCTCACAGCACTAGATTCGAGTGTCGTGCAGTAATGTATGAGAAGTGTTAAAAAAGATATTTAAGTAAAAAAAAAAGTCTACATGAGCAGTCTATACTCCAATTGAGAATTGAAATGAAAGCCATGATTTGGAGGTGTGTGTTGTATGATACATGGTTAGTGAGTGTGTATGTTACGTATAGCGAAAGGGAGAGAGAGAGAGAGAGAGAGTGAGAGAAATGCGCTATGCATGCTGCTGTCCTATTGTACTCCACGTTGTGTTCGCTGCAAGATGGATGTTAATTGGACCTCGTAACTTCTCGATCGTTGATAATAAGGAATACTCATGAGGAAATCAAATTATTGGAATACACATCTAAGGTAAATATCAATGAATTATATACATTTATTTCCTGCCAATTTTGATATCTCTTCTTCATTTTTGAACCATCGCCTTCGGCTCGTAGTAGTAGAAGATGTAATCGTTCGCACATTGATGGCTGGATTTCAGCCTGCATCGGGGCTTGCCTAGCCTGTGTCGGTGTCGTACGTGTGCGACCGATTCAAGGCTAGCCGCTGTTGAGTGATTGCACTTTCGCGCGAAGTTTTAAACTTCATCATGAACTTTGTCCGGACAATGACACGCCCATTCCCTCGGGCCTGTCTAATTATCAACGTAATTTCGCGACATGAATTTATCTGTTTCAAGGCTCTTGCGTACGGCCAAGGCGTAGAAGGAAGGGAGTGTTTACAAGCTGGATATCTCCTATTTTATGGAACTTCTGGAGTCGGCAGATGGGTGAGTTTTCTTAGTGAAAGTAAATGCTTTCTTTTAATCTTTGTTTTATTTTAAACAAATTCGTAATTAAAAAGTTAGATTTGGGCATTGGCCTCCCTACTAAAATACAATTCATCTACAGGTCCAATATTCAACTTGTTGAAAGAAAGACTAGCAATTAGAATGTATTATTAGAAAAGAGAGATAAAAAAAGGGGGCAACAGCCCTGAAAAGATACAATGAACAGCTCTCTTCTCTTTCAAACAGTAACGTTCTTTGTCATTGAATTAATCCCACTTTAAAGATTCAGTATAAAGAACAGAACAGATTAAGATGAGCAACAAAGGACTGAAGTGAAGACTTTGGAGCTCTAGTAAAGTTCTTTACCATCACTAACGAGGCAGTATAGGCCGGTGACTCCTTGTCCACATGACACAAGCCTTCCTTTATTCGGCTCATACTTCTTTTGGATCCCATATCCAGGTCCAGGGTTGTACTGGATGCCTTTCAGGAGTGGGTTCCTGTCTCCAAGATACACCGATTTGGACCAAGAATATCCCCAGTCTGAACTCGTGACCATGTACAGTCCAGTGGGGTTTTCGCCGGTTCCGTTCAAACAAGATGGGCTGGAATGATGAATGCAGAATGTGTGAATTAGAATAAGTTTATTAGTCTCGTGTTCGATGGTTACTGTCCCAAGATTAGTTCCATCCGGGACCGAGTAGTAGTCATTGAGGATGAATGCAGTGGGATCCCATGTGTCCCCGCCGTCTCTCGAACGGCGCATCGCGATAAACTTCGCCCCAGCATCGGCTCCACTGTACTTGCGTGCTTCGCTGAAAGCCAGCAAATCTCCCGTCGGGACTTGAATGAGAAGCGGAATCCGGAACTCCGTCACTTCGCCTGGTCCGTTCCTTTCCCATAGAATTTTCTCTTTGATGACTTGGGGATTGAGTGATGAAACCGAAAAGATGCATGTCAATATCAAAATAAAGAGCGGAAAGTAGAACAAATCTGCCATATTTTCCTTGATTTACTCGCACTCCCTCCTCAAGCAAAGCAATGTTATGAAGGTTCACCGTTATGAAGAAGGCATTGTAAACAAGCCAACCTCGTTTCTATAATTTTTGATTTGGATGACAATATTGTAATTCACCTCTGATTTTATAATTCCATATGAATCAATTTCATCAATAAATTGCCGACAAAACATGCACAATTTGATTGATACTGGGTGTTCTTTCTTCGTATGTGTGGTCCTGTGAAGTATTTATTTGTTATTTATAAGATAGGAAAGTAAAAACAACCCCCATTACATTTTACCGGTCTCAATTTAAAGACTAGTACGTACCGGTTCACTTCCGCATTACCCGCGCTATGTGTACAATGCACAGCATTTAATATGTACCACTACCAGTGCAGTACATACACATGCCGTATGCGGTACCTTGCACGACACAATTCTCATTGATCTGCAACGTTCTTTGATGTTTTTGGATAAGTTTTTGTGAGAACAAGCCGAGCTTGCTTGCCACAGTAAACCTCAGCTCATTCACTGTTCTATGCAAGAAACACAAATCTACACTGGTCTACGGTACGTCTACACTACCAGACTGCACCACAGTTCAGACTGTGCATGATGATGTTTGTTGGAATTGTTGCAACATGATGACAAGTTGACATTGTTGAGCCTTGACTCTTGAGGACACATTGATAGTCTAAAAAGACGTTGCTACAACTAGAACTGGCCCTAGACTCTATCAGTATTCATGTACATACATATTGGAGTTGGAGTTCTTCTCAAGCTCGATCGAGCTGAAATTGAGTTACGATAACATTACTCGGCTCATTGGACCTTTACAGGCTTTAATTAAGGCCAGAATCTACTTTTCATCATGGCGCTTGCACCCAAAGTGATCATGACCTGGTTCTTCACGCTTCTGTTCCTCATCCTCCTGGCCCTGCGCCTGGACCAGAACACTAAATGGAACTGGTTCATCATATTCCTCCCGCTTTGGATCTTTGACTTCTTGGTCCTCTGCATCCAGCTCCTGCGGATCATCACCCACATCAGGACAGGCCACGACCGCCATCTTGAGATGACCATGTCAACCAAGATTTTCTTCGTCATTGGAATAGGCCTCAAGCTTCTGTTCCAGGTCCTGCTGTGTGTGCGGCTGGAGTACAAGCACGATCTGGCCCTGTTCTATGTTTTCATACCACTCTGGGTGATGCTGTTATTTGGATCTGTTCGGTTGACCCCCTGGCTTGTGAAGCAGACATGATTGTGAACGAAACTTATCTCATTAATAATAGACCTTTTCCAAAGAATCCTTTGAATCTAATTTATCTTGAATTCAAGAAAGACCATTTATAAATATATTTTTTTGTATTAAAAGTAGCAGAAATGTTGATGTTATTGTCAGTACTAGAAAAACTCATTATTTCTTTAGAAACGGTCAAACAGGATATGGCCACATCATGAAGTCATTTTTTAAAAAGACAAAAGAAGCAAATATGAACATATTTCTCTCGTTAAACATGTGTTGTGATAGCATGATATATTTTTCTATATTCGTTGCTATGCACATTTGTTGTTTCTTCTTTTTCCTTCAAAGGAAGGGTCTCTTCCAAAAGTTTTTTAAGTGGTCCATAGAAGGATGAAGCTAGAGATGTCAACATCTAGAACGAATAAAATAAAAAAAAGTGATTGACTTTATGATTGCACCAAGAGATGATTTAATAATCATAACTTTTAGAACTACAAGTACAACCATGTTCATGGCAGTTTAGCGAAATGGCGAACTTGCAATGTTGGAGAATTGATCAAAGTCAAATGATGGAGAAAGGGAGCATATATGTGCAACTCTAAGATGGTTGATATATGGATGGATTGTCCATAGATGCATGTTTGCCTGCAATGATGCAATCCTAAAATAACTATGGGCAAGAGTCAACAAGACTAAGTGTGGAGTAGACCAACGGAGCAGAAATTCAGCCTGCCTTCACACCTTGCATCATATGGAGGTGTCGCGTCATGCAAGACAAGGATTTCAGACATCCATTCTAGTGAAAGGGTAAATCTAAGGCTCAAGTCTGCTTCACTTTGGAATGCCCCATCAAAAGGGTATGACTATCCAGCATTTAGGTTTAGGGTTACATGTAGGTACAAAGCATAAATGGAAGTCTTAGATTTAGCTTCAGTGGTGAAATGTTGGTCAAGAACAAGATACACTGTAGGACACACAAACAATGAGTGTATTTGTCGTTCTCCTATTTGTTGAAAGATGAAGGGGGGGGGGGGGGGGAGGCAGTAGGCTTGGAGAATTGGAGAATTTTGCATTTATTTTCTTAGGGACTTTGTGGCATATAGCCTTAAACTAATTATCCAAACAAGTTATATCCAATACAGTCTAATACTACCAGTACTAATTGGGAGGGGCTAAAGCTGCTCCCAGCCTCCCTCTACTCTAGAATCATGTATCAAAACAATGACCATCACAGAAGAAGATGTTGAGTTAATTTAGTAAATGATCACTCATGCTTTCTGCAAAATACAGTCCTCTTCTCCGACATATATTCATGCAAAAACTTACATGTAGTTGCTTGCAGTACCAGTAAAATCAAAGAACTTGGATCCAATTACAAATTTCCATAAACCTTGTACTAAAGCAGCATGTCAAATTTAGGATCCCAATTTTATTTCCTTAATTTTATGAAGAGGATGTAACAGATCAGGACTAACTATATCGAATCCTGCACCAAATACATATAAGTAAAAATGCTTCTTGTAAATTGATATTCTTTGGTTTATTTTCTTCTTGCAGACAGTGTAAACTTTGAAATTCAAAGTAAAACTTATTGTATGGTTATTGGTATTGTTAATTTCATTCCATAAATAGTACATTACATAATATGTTGTGTCAAAATAATATTTAAAAACTTCATGAGATGTCCCTGAAAAATTGCAACACTATCTTCCCACCCCTTTTGCCTAGTAAAATTTGATATTTTTGCCCCAAATGTTAATTAAAATAGCAAGAAACAAAGATTTAATGGGTCAATATTTAAAAAATTTACTTTGGAGTTTTCATGAAATTTTTTATTCTGTACATACAGTATATTATTTGATTATTTACCAATTTACCAGTACTACGTATGAACATTATTAATCTCCATTTATTTCTATCTTTATTCCTTTCCTCTCTCTCCAGTATCTCAAAGACTGCGATCATGTACTCCTCATGAAAGATGGGCAGATTAGTGAGAGTGGCACCCACGATGAACTACTGGGTCTGAGCGGGGAGTATGCAAGACTAATCCAGACCTATCATCCAGAGGAGGAAGAGGAGGAGGAGGAGGAGAAGGAGAGAGAAGAAAGCAGGAAAGATGAATTGAGCCAAACCCAGCCTTCTCAGGAGAATGATGAAAAGAAAGACGAAAAGAAAGCAGGCTCACCCGTCAAAGATGGGAAGGGCACGTCTGGTAAGTCTCGCTGATGGGACCTAATCTACACCGGTGTGTTGGCTCAGTCAGTAGAGCGTCCGCCTCACAACCAGGAGGTCGAGGGTTTGAACCCCGGTCGCGTTATACCAAAAGACGTGAAAAGATGGGAGTTGCTGCCTGCTACCTTGTTTGGCGTTCAGCAATAAGGGATAGAGCAACGTCGATCTGGCGCTGCTCAGTGGCTGCCGGGCTCACGATCAATTGGACAAAAAGAATTTCCATTTTCGGTTTAACTTAATAAAATTTGGAGTGGACTTTAAAAAGATTATTATTATTATTATGTGGGACTGTGTCACAAATTTATTGCTGCACTAGTTCCAACAAATAAACACGAAAACTGGAAGCAGTTTTTAATTTACTAGTTTACCTCATCCTGGGACTCTTCAACTATTACTCTGCTACAAATTTAGTATTTTCAAATTGAAAATGAAGTTTTGAATAATAGTTATTTTCCTCTCCTCTTACATGATCTATCCTGGACGGATGTCTGGAATGATATAAAGAGCCAATTCATAGCTTTTTAACTATTTACATTCACCTAAATGTAATTAAATTGTAATAATATACCGATAGTGGTAGGAGAATTAAGGAATCAATCTGATCAGTTTTTCTCAATTTTTATCATTAATAATGGTCTGTTTTCAGTTTACTCAAACTTTCAGATTACCGGTATCTTTAATTGTACATCTAGCGTTGAAGTCACTACCTTGGCACCATTTTCTCTCATCTGAACAATGTTACCAAGTTCCTTTAAGCATCTATAAGAAAATGGAAATTGATGAAACTTGTTTCTTTCTAATCTAATCTCCCTAGCTGAGCTGATAAAGGAAGAGAGCATGGAATCAGGAATGGTTTCCATGGCAACGTACAGCTCCTACGTCCACTATGCAGGCGGATGGTGCAAAGTCATAGGAACGGGTCTCTTCATCGTTCTGTCTAACGCCTTCCTCGTCGCTACCAATGCCTGGCCGGCCATTTGGTTGAGGGCAGCAGACATGCAAAATGTGGTAAGATGAATGCAAACAGCAGAATTGCGAGGATCAAGCTTGGTAGTGTTAACCCATGAAGTGTTTTATAAGCCTTTATTTATGCAAGGGCTGTTTTCATAAATTTTGCAAGTTATTGCAGATTTGCATTTTAACAACCATATCAAGCTGGCAACACATCCATGAACATATATATTGTTCTATATAATCATAAAAATGCCACTGACGGGAAATGTTTCCCTGTCATAGCAACAATATTGGCCTGAAATACAGTATACCCAGACATTGTGTGTATCAAAGCTATGATTTTCCCTCATTGAAAAGGGTCTGTTTTTGAGTTGAATAGTCTTTCCAACCAGAGGTTAGTGCATGATACATATAACAGTTTACCTGGTTCGTCACATTATCAACAAAGTGGCTGCGCCCATGTCATGCTAAAAGGCATCACATCATGCCTCAATTATCTTCATTTATTTCATCTCTTGTAAACTTTTATAAGAAATATTGTATATCATAAGGCATAAATAAATCTTTGTCTTTCAGCATACCCACACTTGGTCTTTGGGGTGAGGTTTCCTTTAATAAAAGAGTCAATTTTCCAATGCATGTTGTACGTTCTTACAAAGTTGTATTCAAGCACAAGTAAAGTTGACACTCTTTTACATTCTCGTCAGATCTATACCAACAAAAGAATTATGCAACAGTTCTTTTAAAGCGGGACTGTACTACTTGTAGCTACTCATGCCCTCTATGAAGCCAACAATGCCTAAGCGGTACCAGTTGGTCCCCCATAGTCCCCTTTTTCTTTTGTTAATTGAGAGCTGATTTGATGAGATAACCACCTGCCAGTGACCACGCTGGGAGGTCTAGTCCCTCCTGACCAAACTAGTGCAGATGGGCTTTAAGAACTAACACATCTAGTCAAGAAGAATATTCCAGTCTTTCTAATGACTACACACATGGTGTACAGAGATGCCAACTGTTCCGTTTTTGCCGTATTTGTCCCGTTTTTTCACTATGAATACGGCAGTACGTTTTTTGTATGTTTTGTTACGTTTTTTTAATTTTTTAATTTTTTTTTTTTTTTTTTTTTTTTTTTTTAGTGACGTTTTTCTTAATTTCTGATAATGGGCCTTGTGTCGTAAATGTATTATGCACCTACGTCTTCAAACGATGCACGCAGAATGGTGATACGGGCCCAAAACTGCGCACATTGCGAACAACCCACATGTAATGTATGCACGTCGCGCTCCAATCCGGGTATGTATACATGGTACTGCCGGGTTTTTTTAAGCTGCTCGATTGGGCGATATGTTAAGGTGAGAGATTTTTTCAAAAATACTGTTTTTTGCTCTTAAGAATACTTTTTTTTGTCGAAGAAGGTTGGCATCTCTGGGTGTACCCATGTAAGTTATCCCTACTCTTCTACCTCACCGTGAAAACCTATAATGAACATTTGTAGGTACAAAAATGTTTATTCCATGAAAATAAAAAATAAAAACAGTGTCGGGCAATGTTAGGCTTGCCCATGTACTATTCCAATGATTCTTTACACATACCAATGTTATGAACATCTCTCCTGTTTTCTGATTGATTCACTAGGAATATCAAGTAATAACAAACATGAACGACACCTACACAGACTACTACACGGAAGCTCCATATGAAGAAACAGATGAAAGCCTCGATCTCGATGAAAGACTCGACTTCTATGTTGGTTTCTACGTAGCCCTGTTCTTGGCCGTTCTGGTCATGTTCGTACTGTCGTCAAAATTTTATGTCATTGTAAGTCATGGAGTCATATGACATATCCTGGCCATATTGGCCTATTATATCCAATATAATTCATTATCATCTATATAAGGCTTCCAAGTGGTACAATAAACCAGTGTATTCAATATCTTTAGCGCAGCACCCGGATGACCGACCAATATTGTTCTCGTATTGCTCAGTCATCTGGGAACTTCAACTACTGTTATCGATATCATATCGATATCACACGAAAAAACAAACTACCGGTACAGGAAATATTTTAATCTGCTACGTTTGGACGACAATATAATGTGTTGTAGTATTTAGTGATGCTGCCATCCCCACTTATTTTACATCCTAAGAATGGCAAGTAGTTAAGATAAGTTTTAGTTTCTATTAAATTTGATAATTTTAGTCTACTGCTTGTATTATACACAGCAACCTTCACAATGCCTTGTTTATGAGTGATCATGAGTTCCTCCAAATGATAACTTTCATACTTTTTTCCTTTGACAGGTCGTGTTTAATACTCTCTGCCAGTAGTCTCACAATTCTTTCACTTTGTTTTTGAGAGTGATAGCAAGTTTCTTTACGTGATCATTTCAATAATTTCTTCTTGACAGGTTGGGTTGTGGGCAAATCATAGCAACCTCAACAACTTGTCGTTTTACCAGAGTTATAGCAAGTTCGTATAACAAACAGGCCTGATAATTACCTGATTTAAATCGTTTTCCCCAATTTTTTTTTTCCCCGTTCCCTGTTTTTTTTTTTATTCTCTGATTTTTCCATTATTTTCTCGATTTTTTTTTGATTTTTTTGATTTTTTAAATTTTTTTTAGTGCTCACTATCGCCCCTGAACAAATGATTTCAATAATTTATTTTTTACCAGCTTGTATTACGAGCGGCCAGCAACCTTCACAACGCCTTGTTTACGAGAGTGATCGAGAGTTCCATGATCTTCTTTGACACCACTCCGCTGGGCAGGATTCTCAACAGATTCTCAAAAGACATGGATGAAGGTGAGATAGAGGGTACCTTTAAAAGGGGCAGCCATTTCATTTGTGACAATTGAAGGCAAAGTGAACCCCTTTATTAATGATGACATGGATGAGGATTCATGGAACAACCACCTTGGAACAGGACGATGCATACATGGGGCTATAGTAAAGATGGCGGAAATATGTGTGCAGCTATGAGGAGGAACAGACGATGAAACACCTCTTAGTCTCTTAAGATAATATTACGGATTTGCACAATTTTATTGTTACCGTATGCCAATTGTAATCCGATTATATCGCAGCATGAAACTGTAATGACTCTGATCCACTTGCAAAATTTGCAAGACTTCATGCAGGGAAAATGAAGCTAAATGCTAAATCAGGTTTCACTATAATTACCTTCTACTGTGTAGTAAACATCAAATGAACTGTAAGTAAATAAGCAGGCCTGATAAAAACCCGATTTAAATCGGTTTCCCGATTTTTTTTTATTTTTCCCGATTTTTTCCTGATTTTTTCCCGATTTTTTTTTTTTTTTTTCCCAATTTAAAAAAAAAAAAAAAAAAAAAATCATTTTTTTTTTTTTTTTTTACCAATTTTTTTTTCTTCCCTATTTTATCCTGATTTTCCCGATCCCTCTTATTTTCTCTATTCTTCTCTATTTTGCCCTATTTTTTCCCCATTTTTCCCTATTTTTTCCCAATTTTCTTACTCGAAAGGGTGGAATGTTGTTAAATGCCATTTTTTCCCCGCGAATCCTCTCTTCCTTTTTTTTTCTCAAGGGGGTGTAGTTGAGGGGAAAACAAAAAACCTATTTTTTTTTTTTAGTGCTCACTATCACCCCTGATAAGATTTGTTTTTATATCAACTCCACTTCTTTGCAGTTGATCTTGATCTTCCAAACTGCCTGTTACGCATGATCTACTGCCTGTGTTTTTGCGTGATTGGCGAGCTTGGAGCGTGCGTCTTTCTCCCATGGAACATTCTTCCGTTCCTGCTCTTCATGCCCGCCTGCCTTTTCATCCTGCGGTTCTTCCGCTGCGGATTCTGCGACATCAAACGGCTGAATAACATCTGCCGGTCCCGCCTCGTCTCCCACCTCTCAGTATCCATGCAGGGACACGCTACCATCAAAGCTTTCTGCAAGTCAACCTACTTCATTAGGAGGTTAGCAATCTTCCATTAAAGGGATTGTTTAACAATGCTAAATCTACGTGTTATCAGTGTCTGTGATATGGTGTTATATTGAAGCCCTAAAAAAATTCCGCTTCAAAATGATCAAGAAGCAAAATGATCAAGTCTCATCAAGAGGTGCCTCAAAAAAGGAAATACCTTGGAGTGACTGGTTTTACCATACTTGTTTTCCCCAGTAGACTGTAGTGTTATGAAAACCGTTTGTCAAACGCAAATTTGATTTCGAGTTTCAATCATAAATATCTTGATAATCAGACAGGCGATCGGCTTGTAAAAGTCATGGGGTTCCTGACTGACCTAAAAGTTTATACTCATCGTTGCAGCATGAGCTAAATCAAGGATTTTTGTTAGAGGATCTAAGACAAAGTTACCGGATGCCTTTAAATGTCTTTTTGATTGATTAAATTCTCAAAATTACCAACCATACCACTGGTCTATTCACCTAATTTCATTCTTTATTTTATCATAAATGTGAGGTTAAAGTTACAGTTGGGTTTTAGGTTTGTGTTAGGTATAGTGTTTGGTCCGAGGTTAAAGTTAGGAATTTGGTTAGTGCAGAAATTAGACCACATGGCAGTTGTCTCAGAGCATGTGTTTTTGAGGCTGACTTGTGCATTATTTTTACTCTAGTTTGCATGAAGGAGATTTATGATATATTATTAATCTATACATGCCTCCATAGGTACAAAACCTTGTTGTATGAGAGATATAAATGATTTCCTATTTGTCTTTCCATGCCTCCATAGGTACAAAACCTTGTTGTATGAGAGATATAAATGATTTCCTATTTGTCTTTCCATGCCTCCATAGGTACAACACCTTGTATGAGAGATATAAATGATTTCCTATTTGTCTTTCCATGCCTCCGTAGGTACGAAGCCTTACTGGACAGTGACACACAACTGCTCCAGACCGTACAAATGGCAATACGCTGGGCTGCGGTCAGACTCGACTCGCTTGCTGCCCTTAACGCTGGAGTGGTGACAGTCATTATCATCCTATGGAGGGATCACATGTCCAATTCAATCATGGGCTTCGTTCTCTATATCGTTTCAAGTGTAAGCTCTTCTTTTTCCTCCTTTTTTGTTTCTTTTCTTTTAGATGAATCCTTTTACAAAAAGAATCCACTATCATCTGCACTTTGTCTTCTAATGGAAAACACATAAAAACAGAAGCTTGGATATCAGCGCCCATATTCAACTAAAGAAATTCAAACTTGACGATGGGTTTAGGGCTTTTGTTAAAAAACAGGCTATTCAATATTTAGTTTTGCCAGTTTACAAATATTGCCTTCAAACATTTTGTTGTTGTAATCATTGGTAGAATTATGATTGTTTGATACCATCTGTTCTCATTGCAGCTATGTATAGGGACCATCCAAACTACATTCATCGCATTGACGGAGACAGAGAGTAGTTTTATTGCAGTGGAGAGGCTGTTAGAATACATTCAGGTATGTCCAAAGTCAAGGGTCGTTCAAATTAAATTATAATTAATGTAACAGGATGCTTGTTAACAAATCATTAATGCCTCATTTTTTGACAATTTTAATTCAGATTGTTTATTTTATGGGGGTGTGAAGGCTATTGATGAGCACTTTGAATCTTCAACATATTTTGAAATCAGTAGCATTGTTGTTGAATCAGGAGACCCAGAACCTTAGATACTGTTATTTGTCACAATGATAGGGCTACAGCCAGCAAAGTTTAGTAATTGCAGTAAAGCTTCATTTCAAGCACACATTAATAATAACAAATAATTGTGAAAAATTATCATGTATTCGTCATAAGTTATGGTGTAGTTTAGACAAGTCAAATGTAAATCAAAAAGTAAACAAACTTTTGCTGAAAACCATTTACCCTGAAAATTGCCAATTGGGATTTGTTTGCATTGGACAACAATGCATGGACAAACTCTAACTCAACTTGTCATATGACATTAACTTTATTTTTGCTAATTACTTTGCAATTACATATTTCTATCAAAAATCATTTGGCAGAAAATTGTGTACTCATGCAGATTAATATTTGGTGACAACTGTATTTGATTTTATTCATAACTTTGAATAGAATTTATTTTTTTTGTTAAAAGTTGATGATAAATAGCTCTCATGGAGAATTCAATACCATTTGAGTGTTTACCCAAAACCAGGTTCTGTCAATCACCAGGATAAGCCTTCAGTTTTAAATGTATTATGTATTATGTATTAAATGCTCTGTATTTTTCACCAATCGCCCCATATGGAATAGTTACTATCTTTCATGTCCCTTCCCGAGGACTCTCCGAGAGACTAGGGGGTATTTCTTGATGGGACCACAGGTTTGCTGTGTGTGAGGCTTGTACACCCATTAATGGTATTTCCACCAAATCTTGTGTCAGCAAATTATGACCTACTGTACATGGCAACTGACTACCGTCTCCTTTTAATCAATTTATTCTTGATCATGACAGACTCTACCACCAGAGGAGGCTAAGACTGAGAAGAAATCGCCGGATGTTACAGGCTGGCCGTCAGAGGGGCGTGTCCAGTTCAAGGGTGTCAAGATGCGCTACCAGCCCCATCTTCCGTTGGTCCTAAAAGACATCAATCTAGTCTTCGAGCCCAGAGAGAAAGTTGGGATTGTGGGAAGGACCGGATCAGGTAAGGTCCTCCCCCCCCCCCCCCCCCCAAAAAAAAAAATAATTAAAAATTACCTTTGTTTCCTTTTCCTTCTTGTTGGTGTGCAGCCCCCACTGTTGACTAGAGGCATAACATTTTCCTGCTTTCTGTCCTTTATCCGGTCACGTCTTTTTACTCCAGTAATTGCAGGGCTATTTAGTAATACTGGTATGAAGAAAACATACCTGCGAACCCTTCGGAATAATCTGTTTTTCTTGATTTTTAGGACCCTAAAATCCGGAATATTCTGTTTAAAAAAAAAAAAGTTTTATCATATGCCGCGATGTGAGAGTTCATGTATTGCGTGCGTTGAAGGGCTGCATGATTGAGCAGCGAATTTGTATTTGCTTTTTTGCACAGATTTATCTGTTTAGACCTGTTTCACAAAGCATTTTTTCAATGACAAATGACAAAAATCAGTGACAAATCTGTTGATGACCAATCAGAAGCAAGGATTTCAGTAGCTTATAACAAAAACTGTCATTAGTCACTGATGACAAGTTTTGTGAAACACCCCCTGATCTCTACTCTCTCCTTCTCTCCCCATAGGTAAATCGTCTCTGGGAATAGCCCTGTTCAGACTGACACAGATCTGTGAAGGGTCTGTTCTCATTGATGGGATGGACATCGGTAAGCTAAGCCTCCAGGACCTACGCAATAGCCTCTCCATCATTCCTCAAGATCCGGTCCTCTTCATTGGAACCATCAGGTTAGTCTCAATAGTATTATATGATCTTGACCTTGAGCGGGATTTAACACAAAAATATAATGGTTATGAATGTTTCTGGTTTCCATGTCAGTATACAATATTCAGAAATCAGCCATAAAAAATACTATGTACATGTTCTATGAATGAGGGTAACAGGGCTGCTAACCTCCAGAACAGAAAATCAGTAATCACAAGGCTCAAAATCAGTAATTTTGGGAATAAATCAGTAATTTTGTAGGCGGTGCTATGAATCTAAAAAACAGCATGCCAACACTGCGCGGCCGCATGCATGCATTACTGTCTGAAATTTTTGGCGATTTGCTCACACAAGTTTGCTAAACATTGATTTTCAGCTTCAGGTCATCACAACACCTCAGTTTCCATGAAAAATTGGTTTCTAAACTTTCTTTTAAGAAAATACTTAATACTTTTCTGTCTTTCTCAGCGAGTGTTGGATGGCCGCCGTTACTGCACAGTACTCGCTACGATAAATCATATTTACGGTTTTTTTTTTTAAATAAAAAAATAAAATTTTTGTTTTAATTTTTAAAATCCGCAAATTTGAGACAACTTTCTGTACTGGTCTTAATTTCTGTACCAATTACGGGAAATCCGTACTAGTTGGCAGCTCTGGGGTAAAAGCAGCTTGTAAGTAGTTAACTTGACACACCTTTGCTTGCACACACGTGCATCAACCCAAGTATGTGCATAAATATGCTTTAAAGGCATCGTTTAACAATGTTAAATCTGAGATGCACGGCCCTACATGTTATCAGTGTCTGTGATATGATGTAATATTGAAGCCCTAAAAAATTGTGCTTCAAAATGATCAAGCAGTGCCTCAAAAAAGAAAAAAAAAAACATTGAGTGACCGGTTTTACCATACTCGTTTTCCCTAATAGACTGTAGTGTTATGAAACCGCATACATGCCAACTGTTCAGATTAAAGAGGAACATTCCTCTTTTTGGGAGAAGATAATTATCATTTTAATGCAGGTGTTCCGCTTCCTGTACAAATTTGTCTGTAGTATTGAATAGGAGAGTTAGGATTGTTCCTCTTTTTTTTTTAAATAGCATAATTTGTACAGATTTCTGATTTTCAAATGTTGGCATGTATGAAACCCTTAGGCAAACGCAAAATTTGGTTTCGATTTCCAATCATAAATATCTTGATAATCAGACAGGCGATTGGCTTGTAAAAGTCACAGGGTTCCTGACTGACCTAAAGGTTTATAACTATCATTGCAGCATGAGCTAAATCCAGGATTTTATTTCAGAACCAGAACCCTTTAAAAATAAAATATTATCCTGTATTTCTTTCATACTTTATTTTCTCCACACTCCTTAAATGGGGTCCCCCGAGTGCAAATTAAAAAGAAACAAATAGCTTCTACATTATCACAGAAACAAAATGGTCAAGTTTTGAAGAAAGATGAACAATAAAGCAGGTACACTTTGCCTCAGCTTTTGGAGGTCTTGACTTACACATCCTGAAAAATAATTATAAATGGAGTAATGTATACAATCTAATTGCTACTAATTTGTTTGTGATGAGTAATATAATTTAATGGGTATTATTTGAATTCAACAGGTTCTTGAAAAAATCAAAATGCTACACCACTTATAATTTGTTTGCTTGCCTCAATCCAGATACAATATAGATCCTTTCAATGAGCATCCTGATCATGAGCTATGGGAAGCACTGGAGAAAACTCATATCAAGCAGACGGTAAGAAAACATGTGCAATATGAAGTATTTATGTCTTGGAGATGATAATTAAACATGGAAAGGATTGATGAAAAAACAGATAGTTATCGCGAATGTATAGTTTAGGGAACACCGAATAAAAGATGTCATCAAATTTTTCTTAAGATTTAGCGGGATTTGGGCAGTCATGGGAAACCTTAAAACGTCATGGAAATTTGAAAACACATTTTGAGGCCTGGATACCTATAAGCAATGCAAAAATAGAAAATGACCAAAACTTGTGGAAAACTTGTTGAAAATCATTATCAATCAAGGATGTTTCAAAATATTTCTGATAAGGGACATAGTTGCACAACAATCACTTTTTAGTCTGTATGAATGAATCTTTTGAGGACATGGCTAAGAAGATGGATTCCAGAAATATTATCATCAAAAATTTGTGGAATTTGTGTTTCTAGGAAGGACAGGAACCCTAAAAATCACATATTTCAAATCTTGTTGCCCCCAGATCACTAATCTTGATGGGAAGCTTGGTGCGCCGGTGCTGGAGAATGGAGAAAACTTCTCGGTCGGCGAGAGACAGCTCATTTGCATGGCCAGGGCATTACTACGAAAAAGCAAGGTATGCTCCTGTAGCTTCCGAATATGTTTCTAACCCTTGTCGTGGTCTAGTGGACCTGTCACCGAACTGTGGATCACATGGTTTGCCGTTAGAGTCCTGCTGCGCCACTAATGTACTTTGGCAAGTCATAAATCTACATTTGCCACACTCGAGGTAAATGAGTTCCTGGCAGGAATTGATTCCTTGAAATGCTTAAGCACTATAATGGAAGCCATGCTAAAGCCGGGTAAGAATTGTGGAGCGGCAGGAGTGTCAAGTCTGACAGACATGAGCCCTATACAAGAACCCACTAATATTGTATTATTTATGTATTACAATAACATAATCTGCATTTTTTTAAAGGTCAATCTCAATATACTTTGAAGTACTTTCTTTGAAAGCGTCGGGGACTTACGCAGTAATTGAGCCCTGTAATAGCGACAAGTTCCATTTAAATGGCTAAGTTTAGTGAAATTAGGAAAATCATATATTGTAGAAGATATGAAATGATCAATATTGAAATGGCAAGACAGGTGTTAGAAAATCGGAGGGAATCTTGGCCATTTTACAGTCTAGGAGAAAGAAAGCATACAACATTCATATTGGCTGGAAATGTGTATAATAGTGCATACAGACATCGTACATTGTAGGTAGTCAAAGCAACCGCAAGAAGTTGTCCGACTTTGCAGGATGAAAAAAAATACAGCACTGCAAGTGGTGAAAAGTAATTGTCATGTGCAGTAGGGAGAATTGCAAAAACTGTTGTATTCATTGGATGATGACTGTATATATATACATTTCATGTATGTCATTTGTGTTTTTCCTTATAGGTTCTGTTACTAGACGAAGCAACAGCAGCTATAGACACGCACACAGATAGCCTTATACAGCAGACTATACGAGACGCATTCCAAGATTGCACCATGCTCATCATAGCACATAGACTCAATACAGTACTAGATTGTGATAAAATACTAGTCATGGACCAGGGCCAGGTTAGTACAGACCAATTGATTAGACCATGCTCATCATAACACATAGACTCAATACAGTACTAGATTGTGATAAAATACTAGTCATGGACCAGGGCCAGGTTAGTACAGACCAATTGATTAGACCATGCTCATCATAACACATAGACTCAATACAGTACTAGATTGTGATAAAATACTAGTCATGGACCAGGGCCAGGTTAGTACAGACCAATTGATTAGACCATGCTCATCATAACACATAGACTCAATACAGTACTAGATTGTGATAAAATACTAGTCATGGACCAGGGCCAGGTTAGTACAGACCAATTGATTAGACCATGCTCATCATAACACATAGACTCAATACAGTACTAGATTGTGATAAAATACTAGTCATGGACCAGGGCCAGGTTAGTACAGACCAATTGATTAGACCATGCTCATCATAACACATAGACTCAATACAGTACTAGATTGTGATAAAATACTAGTCATGGACCAGGGCCAGGTTAGTATAGACCAATTGATTGGACCGTGTTCATTATAGCATAAAGACTTGCATACTAGATTGTGATAAAATACTAGTCATGGACCAGGGCCAGGTTAGTATAGACCAATTGATTGGACCGTGTTCATTATAGCATAAAGACTTGCATACTAGATTGTGATAAAATACTAGTCATGGACCAGGGCCAGGTTAGTATAGACCAATTGATTGGACCGTGTTCATTATAGCATAAAGACTTGCATACTAGATTGTGATAAAATACTAGTCATGGACCAGGGCCAGGTTAGTATAGACCAATTGATTGGACCGTGTTCATTATAGCATAAAGACTTGCATACTAGATTGTGATAAAATACTAGTCATGGACCAGGGCCAGGTTAGTATAGACCAATTGATTGGACCGTGTTCATTATAGCATAAAGACTTGCATACTAGATTGTGATAAAATACTAGTCATGGACCAGGGCCAGGTTAGTATAGACCAATTGATTGGACCGTGTTCATTATAGCATAAAGACTTGCATACTAGATTGTGATAAAATACTAGTCATGGACCAGGGCCAGGTTAGTACAGACCAATTGATTAGACCATGCTCATCATAACACATAGACTCAATACAGTACTAGATTGTGATAAAATACTAGTCATGGACCAGGGCCAGGTTAGTACAGACCAATTGATTAGACCATGCTCATCATAACACATAGACTCAATACAGTACTAGATTGTGATAAAATACTAGTCATGGACCAGGGCCAGGTTAGTATAGACCAATTGATTGGACCGTGTTCATCATAGCATAAAGACTTGAATACTAGATTGTGATAAAATACTAGTCATGGACCAGGGCCAGGTTAGTATAGACCAATTGATTGGACCGTGTTCATCATAGCATAAAGACTTGAATACTAGATTGTGATAAAATACTAGTCATGGACCAGGGCCAGGTTAGTATAGACCAATTGATAAGACCGTGTTCATCATAGCATAAAGACTTGAATACTAGATTGTGATAAAATACTAGTCATGGACCAGGGCCAGGTTAGTATAGACCAATTGATTGGACCGTGTTCATCATAGCATAAAGACTTGAATACTAGATTGTGATAAAATACTAGTCATGGACCAGGGCCAGGTTAGTATAGACCAATTGATAAGACCGTGTTCATCATAGCATAAAGACTTGAATACTAGATTGTGATAAAATACTAGTCATGGACCAGGGCCAGGTTAGTATAGACCAATTGATTAGACCGTGTTCATCATAGCATAAAGACTTGAATACTAGATTGTGATAAAATACTAGTCACGGACCAGGGCCAGGTTAGTATAGACCAATTGATAAGACCGTGTTCATCATAGTACAGTCAAACCTGTCTATAGAGACCGCCCAAGGGAAACACAAAAAGTGGTCTTTGTGGACAGGTTCCTTTAATACATGTTTCAATGAGACACCACTTTCAAGGAAAACAAAAACCGTGCTTGTTGTAGACAGGTGGTCACTAAAGCAGGTTTGACTGTATCAGGCCTGATAAAAACCCGATTTAAATTTTCCCCTGATTTAAAAAAAAAATTTTTTTTTATCCAATTTGTTTTTCCTCCCCGATTTTCCCCTTATTTTCTCTATTCTTCCCTATTTTTCTTACTCAAAAGGAGGGAATGTTGGTAGATGCCATTTCCCCCCCCCCCCCCCGAATCCTCTCCTTTTTTTACTCAAGGGGGGCGTAATTGAGGGGGGGGGAACCTTTTTTTTTTAGTGCTCACTATCCCCCCTGCTGTATATAGAATCAGTAAAGGGCTCGATCTGAAATACAATCAGAAAAGGCCATCTCAACAAGTAATCATGTGAATATGATATCCTCTATCTTGTTAGGTGGGAGAGTTTGATTCACCGTCTAACCTACTCGCCAATCCTAACTCCAAACTGTCAGCCATGTTGGAAGCAGCTGGAGACAAGACCACACCAGGGCAGAGCTCTCCATGACACAGTCCTGGGCCCCCGTTTCACAAAACTTGTCATCAGTGACAAATGACAGCTTTTGTTATAAGCTACTGAAATACTGAAATGGTTATCAGCAGATTTGTCACTGATATTTTTCATTTGTTAATGAAAAAAGGCTTTGTGAAACACCCTCCTGATGTACATGTAGGCCTATGCTAGACCCAACTGTGGGCCTGTACTTGGGCCTATTGTAGGTGCTGCTGCATGTATCCGTATTAGACCCAGTGTGGACCAGTCCCACAGAGGTGCTTGTTGGAGCCATGATACAGGGTGAACCAGTGTGGACCTAGACGAGGCTAATGTGTATGGATCCATACAAGAGCTACATATAGTCTTTTTCTATTCAAGACTAACTCTACTATTGTATTCAAGTTTTGGTGCTCAGTTGACTAATGGGTTCTGCCAATTGAATTAGTCATCTATAGAATTAGAAGGATTAGAGGGATAAAAATATATTTATTGGCGACCCACCCCCCCCCCCCCCCCCCCCCCCCCCCCCCCCGCCCCCCAAAAAAAAAAATATATATATATATAATGATAATAATCTAGGCACAAAGAATGCATGCATAGCTGCCAACCATTCCATTTTTGTAGCCTTCAACTGTATAGATTCCTTTCAGTTTCAGTAAACTGTTGTGTAATTGCATACAAAATACACTGCATTGGATTGAAGAGAATCTTATATTGAAGGTAATACAAAGTTTTGGGAAATTTTGAAAATTGGGTGGATAGTGATTCTTTACAATTTTGATATATTTGGATGCCCCTGTGGATATATTATAAGTACTAGAAAATTTAGCCCCTAAAACACTTCTGCTTTCGAGAATAATTAAATATGAAAATTTACCGGTGCTCCCGGTAAATTTCAAATAGTGCCTACAGCCGTACAATGGTAGCCGCGACCATGAAAATCTCAGAATATGTAGTTGTGATATATAATTTCCAAACGAGAATAGCTAGTCGGTCGATTTTAGTCAAGAGACATTGTTTTATAGCTTAATTTATATATTGACCTTGAGAGGGAGCTATACAACAAAAAGTTTATTATTTACAATTTCATAACCTTAGACTTGATTATATCCACGACAACGATCACTGAATATTGCGGGATCGCATATGCTTCCAATGTTCATTTGAACCAAATTCATGACCCCGTACAAAAACTTTGTATTACCTTTAATTGTCTACATTTAGCACATATATTGGTATTCCTATCCTTTGTATTGACACTTTGATGTCTCGTGTGTTCATGTTTTTCATATTTTATATGTTATATTAAGAGAATTCAACAACCAAAAAAAATATCAGTGTTCCCAATTTCAAGAGAGAGAGTGCGGATTTGTTTAATGATTTTATAGTTTCTGAAGTTCTATATCATTCAGTAAGCATGGGGCTGAAAGTATGTTTGATCTTTTCCTGATATTAGTTTGTTCATGACTGTATTGGTTACTAGTGTGTGAAGAGGTATATAACAGGGTTGTTTGTGGTAGGATTTCTAATCTTTACGTTCTGTAAAACCAGAACATTTCATGGCGAAAAGCTTTCAGAGTTTTGTGAATTGCATATTACAGGTTTCTTATATGTTGTGGGGGGTGTTTCACAAAGATCCTAAGTTGAACTTATCTCTAAATTGGAATTAACAATTATGAAAAGCTGTTAGCTTCCTCGAAAATATTTTGTCAAAGTTATTTTAAAAGGCAACAAATGTTGATTCAAATCTTTCATATTTTCTATTCTAATGGGAAATTTCATGTTCTTGATGAGGAATTTATGAAATGTCTAAAGCTATATTCAAAAGCAAAAATCCAAGTGATTTTTGCTTTTGAATATATTTTTTTAAGGCTACAAATGGCTCTCCTTAGAGTCAAATTTGACTTAGAATCTTTGTGAAACACCCCCCTAGTAGCATAAATGTGTTAACTTGTCGCCGCCTTTTAACTAGCTGTATTTGATTTCATGAGCAGAACTTTAGAACGGATGGACATGTCCAATTTCCCCTTTAGCAATGAATACTGGTGCAAAAATCGTCTTTCCTGCAATGACCGATCCAAGCCCTGCAATATATTGCAACTTGTATTAATTTGAATACATTGAGAAATTGTCTATTCGACTGAAACATTTTTAAGTGTTAATCATATCACCATTTGTATTGATGATTACATGTATTTTTCACATTGAATATATCCTTGTTAAAAGGTGAGAAGGAAAATATAATGTTTATTTTTTACTTTTACAGGTGTTATTTTCTAATGCTTACAAGCTGGTTTAAAGATAAGGTTGAGTTCTAGTGAAGCGATTGCATTGTGAAAGAAACGGTGTGGAATCGTTCAGAAAAGTATTGGTGTGTACTGCAACTTCTGCAATGTTCTGGAATCATCAAAATGATAACAAATTTGGCCCAGTCTTGGTAGATTTACAAGCACTGTACACATTAAGATGTATATGGGACTACACAAACATGTGGCATAAAAATCCATCCCGATTTTTATGCAGAATATTAAGGCATTTAAAGAGCCATGCTTTTCTGGGAGCATCTTTTACATGTTCTTCCACACTTGCATAATGCACTTCCCAGAACTCGACCTTCTCTTTAAGGGAAGCTTTTATATGTATAATTACGGTGCATACATAACTATATGTAGGGACATGGTTGTTTATTATATGCTGCAGTATATCTTGCAACCAATAAAATTAAAATATTATCATAGAAGTGGCCAGAATGCAGATACACTGTACATGATTTTGAGTTGTTAATAATTGATTCTCACCGACATAAAAAAGCAGAATAACAACAATTGAAGAAAATTAACATTGTGTTTTATTTGCAGTCAAACCTCTTAAGCAGGGCTCCCACTTAGCCAAGTTGTATTAGCGAGTTATCCCGAGTTGTGGTGAGTTGCCTCAAAGAGGCACTCGCAGAAACTCGCAAACAATTCGGTATGGCTTAGCGTAACTCTTTACAACATTCCAAGACTCTCCTCGAAGTCGCGAGCAGTTCCAAAATTGTGAACATGTTCAAAAAATTTCTCCGATTCGTTGTAATTCACGGTGAACTCGCTTACAATCGTAATATTCTCGCATTACCCGTAACAAGCTCGCGCTGCACTCTTCATAACTCGTAGCAACTAGCTACCTTATAAAGAGTGCAGCGCGAGCTTGTTACAAGTAATGCGAGTATATTACGAGTGTAAGCGAGTTCACTTCGAGTAACAACGAATTCACCTCGAGTAACAACGAATCAGTGAAAATTTTGAACATGTTCAAAATTTTCGCTGATTCGTTGTAGCTTGAGGTGAATATATAACATTCGTGATATACTTGTAGCAACTCGCCACCTTATCATTTGAGTATACTGTTTGATCCCAGGATGAATTTGTTAGAGTAAGTCATGGACTGCAAAGCTACTTTTGCTGGAATATGTACCTTTGTACCGGAACAATCGGTCTGTGTCAACGCACTATGCATATATACATGTAGAGATCTGAACACCTCAACGGTAGCATTTAGCCATGCAATACTGGGAATTTTAAAGAATAAGACTGTCCAAAGAGTCTACTGCCATATCAATAGTCAACAGAGCAATGCTCTTTTCCCTGTATCGCACGAGTGGGTCCAAACAACGTACATCCTCACGAACCACCGTTGTCTACAACACCAGATTTCAGGTCCGAGAATTTAGAAAAGGCCGTGTAGCGCCACCGCTTTTCCAGCGAGGCCCCGACCCCAAAGAGATCCTGTCTAAAGATGGTCGGGTAGGAGTTCATGAGAGATTCAATCTCGTTTATGGTGACGGAGGGGTTGATACGCTGCATGTAAGACCAAAGGTACTCTGTTGATGCACCAAAGGGATGAACGTGAAGGAAGATGCTTAGTAGACCTGGAGAAGATAAGAGTTTGGGGTGATGTTAGTAACAAATACATGATGTGCATTGTGTGGGACTACACATACCTCTTGGGGAGGGGGGGGGGGGGAATAACCACAAATAAATTTTTAAAATCTGAAGCCCCTGTGAGTTGCAACAAATTTTAACAAGAACACCTACAGCTCTACCACAAAACTGGATATAAGCTTCTAAGAATCCATGTAAGATGCTTGTATCAATATTATAGGGTTTGGTCCAAAGTCATGCTGCTGATCAAGCTTTCTCTCCAAATGGAAGACGCATGGTAACCAGCCCTGCAATGTTGGATTGCGGATTTCCCCCTCCCGGCCCCATCTCAATCTGACAATGCTAATATCATATATGGTTGATGAGTAATTTAGCATATGTTAAATCACTCCTATCAACAAATGAAGAGCTTAATTCCAAAAGGAGCTAAATCCACTTTTGCTGAAAATTTGGTTATTGATATCAAAACATTCATTGTACACGTCTTTCAACAAAATTATTACCCTAAATTTTGGGAGCAATTATGAAAAAGCACCTTCTTATATCACTTTTCCAGGTGCCTGTACAAAATCTGGTAAACAATTTCTTTTTCCTCTGAAGTTACAAAAATGGATTTAACTCCTTTTGGAATTAAACTGTTCAAATAGTATGTGCCAAATTGGCAATAATTACCGATCATATCAGCCTTCCTGGGGTCAAGGGTCGTTTGTTTCTCGTTGGAGTCTGTGTCCGTCGTCTGTCTAGAGTCACTCCTGCTCGATACCTGAGATTCCACTGTCTGTATGGACCAAACATTAATATACCATAAGCATGAAAATGAAAAAAAAGTTTATTTGAGCAGTGAACGATTCAGCTAGAAAAGCTTTGGAGAGCTCCAGATACCTGGAAAAAAGATCTGGTTTAGCAATGAAACACTCAAATAACTGATTAAATCTGTGTGACTATATCAAATACGAAAAGAACTTACATGAAAAATAAACGTTTTACACAATGAAACTATAGTGCATCGATCAAATTATTAAGTGGTTGCATTGTGTATACATCTATCATACACTGATTGATAAAGCATATTGAAATGTTATGGCCTTAAATATTACTATTTATTCTTTAAAAGAGAAATTTGCATCTCATAAATTTCCATACTGAGCACACTTTGTATGTGCATTTAGGGTGGATATGCACCCATAACATTTTTTTTTTTTTTTAATCGGTTCTCTTGAAATCTCAATCAAATATTATGCATGGATGTTTGAAAATAGTCACCAACATGTTGAAATTGAATATTATCACTGACACTCTTGGTTGGCCTGACCACTTACTCGAAGTCTTTCCTCTGTATCTTTCCGCATGGATTCTTCCTTCTTCCATTTGTTCTTAGTATCTTGCAGTTGCTATGGAAATGAAAAGTAATTGATTTAAATTTCACTTTTAAATCATAGAATTTGAACAATTTCTAGAAAGAAATATAAAATAAAACATAACAATATTTAACACTGACTGTACAAATATACTAAACAAGTTGGTTGCTGAGGATAAAGCATGACTGGGTATTAACATCCAAAGTCCAATGAAAGAGCATAAAAGAAATGTGATAAGTTGTATACTGGAACAGAATGTTATCATGATCATTATTTCCCTGGTGACAATTGCCCTACAGTAAATTTCCTAAACTAACTGAATTCCCAACTTCAACTCTGGAAAAAATACTGTACTTAACCCTAACCCTAACCCACAGCCAATCCCAAACCTAAACCTAACCATAAACTTGAACCCAAGCCAATGGCAAACATAACCCTAAACTCGACCTAAAGCCAATTGCAACCCTTATTGCAACCTTAACCCTTGATCTTTGGTGACATAAAACTTTGAGCACAATTGCTGCAGGGTCACATACCTGTTGCATGCTAAGTAGAGAATGTTGCAAGGCTTTGATCTGGGTCTCCATCTCCTCGTTGGCGATCGGCACACCACCGCTGGGCGTGGTCCCGGGCGGGGCCAGGCTGGCAGACTCATCCTTGACTTTGATGGTCTCCAGCTGGTTCCTGAGGACGCTGTTCTGATGCATCAGGGCTTGGACCTGAAGCTGGAGCTGGTCATCCCGTGGAGCGGAGGAAGTTGATTGAATGGTCACGGGGGGAGAGTCTGGACAATAGAAGAAGAAAAATACCTTGATTATAATAAAATTTATTTGACAAGGCAATGACCACCTAAGAGGGAAAAGACCTACATCTAGATCTACAGTCGATATAAATGGATGTCAATATCAGAAGTAAAAAGATTATGATTAAATGCATTTGCATTTCTCATCAAATTCTTACATATCTGCTTTTTTAAAGTAAGTGTAGGCTGACATAGCAACAAAGACAAAAATGCTAATTTTTAAGTGTGAATTTCTGCCAGATGTTGCCTTCTCTGCAATAACAGGGTAAACACCTGAAATAATGGATTCCATTCACATATATAAGTATGTATATGAACTTTTATTTCAAAATCAAGAAAGGTAAAACTTTGTAAATGGGTAAATATAGCACCAAAAGCCACTACTATAGCATCCATGACGACAAAAGCATAGCATCAATACCACATTGCCAAATTTTTGAATGTGAAATTCTGCTAGATGTCACCTCTTTCTAGGAACAAGTAGGAATAAATACCTGGAATAGTAAATATGTTCAGAGACACATGTACATGAACTTACATATGTGCATGTCAATGTAAAATTCATGAAGGTACAACAAAAATTAAATAGGGAAATACATCATCGAAGATCAATATGAGAAATGTTTTAAACGTAAAACTCTGGCATATGACAAGTAATGGTTTAAATACCTGCAATGGTAGATTCTCTTTGGAGGGGGGGGGGGGGGGGGGGGTACTTGCTTTTCTTTTTCCTACTCCTTCAAGTGAAAAACAATTGGTATTTGAGAAACACATGTAAATAAATACCTGAGGTAATCGACTCTGTACGGGGGCGCTTGGCCTCGCTTTGGGTCCCGCTTTGGGTCCCGATCTGGTCCTCTTCGTCGGAGAGGTCCATCTCTGCTTCCCCCTTCTCACCCACTCCAAGCTCCTCTTGCTGCTGCTGACGCAACTCCTGGAGTAGCACAAAGAGAGAATCATTAGCATGTAATAGCATACACAATTATACAAATAATACACAGCAGTGAGGTCATTAGTAAGAATTATCCACACACGGTACCTTAGAAAATGATGTGAATTATTTGTTTTATAAGATGATGTTTCATTTGTTTTAAAAAATGATGTTTTATAACATGATTTTACTAATTACCGGTCATTAGTATTTGCCAATGACCGTTCATTAGTAAAATTATGTGTAAGACAAAATAGATGACTGGTCACGTGTACGCTCTCAACCAATCATTTGATTAGGATCTGCTTCATCATCTTGTAACTTTTCATATCTATCCAAATTCAATCCGCAGAATATTTGGTATAACGCCTTTCCTTGCAGTTACAGAGTGCTTCACACTTTGCTCCATAATGAAGTATAAACAGGATCATTTTAACAATGAATACTTCAGAGCCATTAAGCTTCCCTGCCACACAGTTCTGGTACAAGGAACATCAATTCTTTTTCAAGAATTCTATTTCTACCTACAGAGCTGTGTTTCATTGCTTAATGAAGTACCGGGTATACACAATTTGCCATTGGACTTTACTTCACCATGAGGTTACCCCTTTTTGATTTAGGAAGAATAGGAAGCAAATTTTGTCCAAATATATCGTTCTACACACATATCTTTATACTTGTCAATTGCATGCACCAAGATTAGTTACGATAGTAAATGTACATACAGCACTGTCAGCACATGTGTAAATATGTCCACATTATCTAGAAAAAAAATTGTAACAAATCCCAATAAATCATATTTAATCTGGTAAACCAATATCGAATCAAAACCAAATAAAGGAGATATCATTTGCCATATGTGTATCCATTACTATCACAAAGTATTCACTAATACAATAAATAATGGAACATGTACAAAATATCTTGCTTTACAACTGAATTCCATATACAAATTGGCAATGCAATATCAATTGGTGGTCTGTAGGCTCAATCCATATATACCATTTCGTTGTTACCATCATAATTTACCCCTTTTAGATGTTGTAGTGCACATGTGCACACAAAAATGGTTGTATTACATGTATATTATCAAGTAAAAAGTGACATGTGCACAGTTTGACAGCTCGATACCACATATCATATGGCTTGGTGCACATGACCTCTATCTGCCCATGAGCAAATTGTAACTGCACAACGTTGGCAATAATATTATTATTCTTTTATTACTACAGTGATATATTTAAATGCAATGTCTCTGAAAACAATATACACAGGGTAACAGGGTAGAATGTTGTCAAAAAGTTTTCAAAATGCCCAGTTTTAATCTCTCAACGTGGTGCCAATTTAAAGATATTAAAACTTATTTACCTTTTAAAAATTCCTAGCATCAAATGCTATATAGTCATGAAACAAAAATGGATGCAAGGTGGAATAATTGTCACAATTGTTACAAAAGGGTTAAAGTACGATCATGGACTAAAGATATGGCAGAATACACATTAGTAATATGAAATCTGGTTAAACAATGACTATTACTAATACTTCAATACTTGATTCATTTATTCAACAAAAAATATAAAGAAAGACATGTACTACTGTTATCATAGCTCAACGTTGACATAATATGAATGCTAAATAGATCAGAAACAAAATCTACTACACTAATAGAGATTTGAAACTGCAACATTTTGTCTTGAAACTTCAAAAACTTTGTGATTCATAAAACATGAGGACATTCAAAACAGTGAAGCTCCCACAACTAATATAATTGTGGAAATGCAATTTCTTACAACTTACCATGGCTTTTTAGTCACAAAACTTGAAATATGTGTCTCTGCTATGGAAATTAGACATAAAACTGCATTTCTTTGTTAACAACTTACCATTTATTTATGAGTCACAAAACATCAAGTCCTACACAATCAACACTGCATATCTTTCTTACAACTTACCATACATTTTTAACTTACATAAACTGAAGTCTTATACAACTATCAAAGGTTAAACATGTCAATATTCTTTGTCCTTCTAGCAACTTACCACAGATTCTTTTTATTCATAAAATTTGAAGTCATAGGCTTACAAATAAAGTTTCTGTGACTTTACTTTAAGTAGACTGTAAATCATATGTCCCATTTTAATATACTTACAAACCAAATTGTGAATAAACAAAATTTAAAGTCGAACACTGTACACAACTCATGCAAATTAATTTCCTACAACTTTGACATCAGAAATAGACTACCGGTATGCTACATTTACAAATACCTCCTTCTAACAACTTACCATCTTTATTTAATTTCTCCCCAAAACCACTCCATAAAATAACTTTTTTCCAATTCCTTATTGCAAAATTGCAAAAATATAGCATCAACTCATTTACCTTTCATTGTCATTGTTCTTGGCCTCTTTGAAGTGAAAGTCTTCATAAACTACTTGTACATTGCAGCTGGTGTCCATATCCCTTTTGCACAACCCTTTGACCTTTGACAAATCTGGCTGTCCATCCTGAAACATACATGTCTAACACAAACGTTCCATTTTCATACCAACCGTTCTCCTTTTGAGTCATCTGTAATGACCTTGTGCCTTCATCTTGATCTTTGAACCTTTGACCTTTGGCCTGTGTCTCCAGGATGGCTAGCCTATAGGTCACTCATATATCCTTTACAAGAGCATATCACTAACTTCTACCGGTATACCTTTCTTGCCTGGAACAATAGTATCACCAATGATAGCTCGAATCCATGTCTTGCAAAAACATTCCACTGGTAATACCAACCATTTCAGTCCTCCTGTTCCTTCTTGTGTAAATGGCATCTTTCAGTGTAACCCTTCCACCTGCTACAATGACCTCCTTTCACCACTAAAAAGTGATGCTCATCAACCCTTTAACCTTTGGCCTCCAAACTGAACTGTGTACTTCCTGCGTAGCTGTCCTGCAGATCATTCTGTATATCCATCAAGACAGCTTCACTGCTTGCCTCAACTAAGACCATTCTACCTTTTACTTTTACAGTAGCCTCCATTGACCGCTGTTAGGTGGTGCTCTTGACCTCTTTTTACCTTTGACCTTGGAACTCTGTATCCCCTTAATGGCTGCCATGTCGATTGTGCTGTATGTCCATTGCAAGCTTCACTGCCTGCCTCTCCTACACACTTTATACCTCTTACAATCTTATGGTTTCCAACCGCCTTCTGGAAGCTTGCATCCATGGCCATAGTGAACTTTAACCTTTTCTCTCTATGTCCATCAGGAGTGAAGATCTGTCCATCCAAGTTTAAAAGGACTTTACAGCTAGTTTGACATTATCACCAGTTTCTGTACCAGTTCTGCTACAGTTTTTGAAGACTAGACTATTGCTTGCTTTACTTACTCAAGGTGTGCTTTCAGGTTTTTCCACTACATTGACAAACACTTGAAAACATTCATCACTAATCACTATGGATGCCAAATTTTACATTTAAGAGGAAAAAGAGAAGTACTTGTAGACATAATCGGTACTTTATCTCTTAATCATCATATTATACAGGTAGGTTGTTTTGCCTTTATGCATATCATGATCGAAATTTTAATATTCTGTATGCTTCTGTAGAGATAGAGCCCAGAAAACCTTTATACAAACCTCTTTGTTGTTGCTCTTGTACATGTCCATCAATAATTAGACGGTTTTTGATCGGCTTTTAATATCTTGTGGCCTTTAAAAACAGGTTTGACAGTACAATTTTACCTTCCTATCCTCTCGCAATAGCACAGATTTTCGCAAATAAGCCTCTAAGAATATTCACAATCTTAAGATTCAGGAGATTACTAAATTTGAAGACCTGTAATATTATTCATTCTGAACATGAAAATCCATTTGAAGTGAAAAGGTAAAGTTTGATATCTCTTGTGAATATCGACAACAAGTAGATACTTTCAAATGTCCATAATGATATGGGCAAGAAGGAACTTGTCTGCAGAGAGTCAGAAGGGTACTGCCTCTGTTGCTTTCACCACACTATTCTTAAACGCAAATTTCAATGAACAGCGACTCTTCTGCGTGGCAGGGTGTATGGCACAAGCTCTAGTGTCAATTGTTCTGCAGTTATTATCATACGCCAGCTGATTTCTTAACCCATTGCGTAACCTACGCTAGCCCTAAACCTAAACACTGACCCTAAACATGGCCTAGAACCCAACTGCAACCCTAACCCTAAACCTAAACCTTTTGACAAAACCAACTGTCGCCTGAGCGTATTTCAGAGCACCTGCAACTATCGCCCTTCTGGCTCTCAGCAGACTCTCCTTCCATACATGTATCAATGATCACCGACACCTTTCTCTCTTTGAAAACAAATTACCAATTGCCCCTGCCTAGCACCTACCTTGGTCTGTTGCTTCCAGCCTTCAATGGTTTTCCTCTGCGCCTTGGTGAAATGGTCCCACACCTTCTGCTTACATGCACTCATTAATACCTGCTCGATCAGAGTGTCTTTGTATCATCACGGCCAAGGGGGAAAGGTAAAACAGATAACAGAGATTGCCAAAATATGGCAGCATTTTCTTTTTCTTGTTTTTTTATTTTAAATTAAATACGGGTTGTTGGAAGGGAACATTCTGAAGTTTAAAGGATCAAGATTGTTGATGGGTTTATTTGATTTTTATATCCTTAAACACTAAAAAGCAATTTAACGGCAAGACATTAAGCCGGATATGCCCTCAAAACAAAGAAACAAACATGGCAACTATGTGCATGAATGACAATTTTTCTGAGGGAGGGGGAGAGAGTGGAATCTACCCCCACCTCTTTCAATTTGATTGGTAAAATACCCCAAGTTCTCAAACGTTAAATGTGTGATTACAATTCAATGTTTATGGAGTAGTGACTGTCTTAGGCGCAATAAAACTAAGCTTCAAAACTAATTCTGGGGTTCTGACCATTGGGGGAATACATCGATCATCAAATAATCCTTTTTTTTTTTTCTTTTTTTTTAAAGAGCCTTGAAGTTATCTCAGTTCTATAGTAGCTTCATCTTTCAACCCCAAAATAATTACATAAATATTATTCAGATCCAATTTCAATTCAACTTCTTAATATTCCCTTCCGTTGATGACCTGTAAACGTTTCTTACCAGACTGTTACACTTCTGTTTGTGCACATCAGAAACAAAAGTTAATAAAAAAAACAACAGCAATGGCATCTGTCTCCTAAAGTCATTCATAGCAAACCAAATGTGTACCGTCACCTCGATTGAGAACGCTGATAAATTTAGCATGGCTTTTTTTTTCTTCTCCAGGATAAAGGGGTCCGATTATTTAAACAATCAAAGATATATCAGTCTGAAGTCTGTCACATGTGCAGTAAATTAACCAAGAAAAAATTAATTTACCAAGTTAAGAATTGGTAAGTAAAATACAGTCAGATTCCAAATGTGTAACTGTAAAGCTGAGGTCAAATCAACAATAATATTTAAAATACAAGATCCTCTTTTGACAAACCACAGGTATTATCCAGTATTATGATTATTATATTATTATATAATATCGTATTACTATTGTTATACGGTAATTAAATTATAATATCTAGATACAACTAGTACCATTTCGTTTATGCAAAGAGAATTTTGTCCTATATCTTTTACCTTATCAGTTTGTCAAATGTACACAAAACTGCAAAGTAGAACTTGATGTCATTTTCTTCTTTTTTGTTTAATTGTTTCTTCTTTTGAATTATTTTTCTTGATCAATTTGATGCTTATGACATAAATGAGCTAGTGACAGAAAAAGAAAAATAACTAGTTCTTGAACCAAACCTTTCCATAAATTGGTAGCACAATTTCTCCCTCAAAATCAATCATGACTTTTCCTTTTTGACTAAATTTTGTAATCCAATTCAATATACCTACCTTCATCTAAAGCTACCTTAACATTAAAAAGTCAATAATACTCGACCTGAAAAGATGCATGTTTGACCTGGATGAATGAATTTTGCCATTTATTTTCAACTACCCGAATCTTCCCCAAATTTAATGGTCATCTGAAGTTTTCAATTTGCCTATCCCTTAAGGTACAAAATGTAAAGCGTACTGTGTTCAGGACATATCATTTTGCCGTTCTTTTTTGTTGTTATTTTAATGAAAAAGGCATAATGGATTGATCATGAATGGGATTAAAAAATTTTGTAGCATGGGAGGGGGAAATAACGATTTTAATATATCCCAGGCATACTGACAATACCGACACCAGCTAAACAAAGGACTGAACAACAAAAATGACATTGCGCAGGATGGCCAAGGATCGGTTACTTTGGAAACGTTCTAGAGTTGCTTTGGAAACATTCTAGAGTCAGTTTGGCGATAGAACTGGGACCTGTTTCACAAAGCCTTTTCTCAATAACAAATGACAAAAATCAATGACAAATCTGCTAATAACCAATCAGAAGCAAGGATTTCAGTAGCTCATAACAAAAACTGTCATTTGTCACTGATGACAAGTTTTGTGACCCATGGGGTCTTGACGGAGTGAACTGTTGCAGGGGATGCAAGAAAGAGTGTGAAGCCTGACTTACATTGTGTAATGAGTCCAATGACCTGCATCCTGTACTGCTGTTGTATCTGATTGAGGTTCAGGTCACACTGAGCTTTCTCACCAATCAGTCTCCTCACATGCCTGGTATCAAAGAAATAAAGGCTAGTGTTATTGGGTGGTATTCTCAAAAGCAGACTACTGATTGAGGTTCAGGTCACACTGAGCTTTCTCACCAATCAGTCTCCTTACATGCCTGGTATCAAAGAAATAAAGGCTAGTGTTATTGGGTGGTATTCTCGAAAGCGGACTAACTTTACTCCATGGTTTAATCCTCTGACTAAGTATGGAATGCCAAGTGTCCATATGAATATGTTTTTGAATAATTTAATCTGTCACTAAATTGAAATAAAATGTAATAACATAATTAATAAACAACAATATAACTAGGAAATAATTATGTTATCATGGTAATTTAGGGACATATCAAATTATTCAAAAATATATTCATATGGACACTTAGCATTCCATACTTAGTCGGAGGTTAAACCACCAATTAACTTTAATATTCATCACACCACGGATGACTATTAAAATGGATACTAATGTTCACATCGGATCCACCATTTTGCAATTGACATTTGGCCAGATTTGAAATCATCAAAATAAAGGGTAGTGTTGTACACTGTAATATTCATCACACCATGGATGACTTTTAAAATGGATGCTACTGTTCACATCAGATCCACCATTTTGCAATTGACATTTGGCCAGATTTGAAATCCTCTGAACCATTTCATACTCTTGTATTCCAATTCCAATCCAGGAATTTACAAAGCGCCAATATCTAGTTGCCTAAATAAAGTCGCTGATGAGACTGAAAAATTATTCTGTTCATTATTCTAACTTGGAAAGACAAAAAAGCAATGACTAATTGTAAGCAATATGAAATAGGTTTGTCTTTAGTTGTGTTCTGAAAGTGGATAGCTGGCGACTGATTTCTGAGTTTTATAAGTGAATTGCTCATTTAATACTGTATCAAGATATTTATGACTGAAAGTCAAGAATGAACACACACATGTTGAGTTTCAGCTTTCTGGTAGAATGTAGTATCTTATATCAATTTCAGAATGTGTGCTTTGAACTATTACAAAGACGTCAGACCTGCACGAAAAAAAAAAAATTAAACTATAAGATTCCCACAATGCCTCTGCTTGCCGGAACCAACTGGACAGCAAGGTCCGAGGCACTACCTCCAAACACTACTCTCTGAAACCTTTCAAATCTGCAGTTTATAGCCTTCTACAATAAGATTTATACATGTGCAAACCAACCAACAAGTCGAACAGGAAAGAAAATTTTCATACGGAATGTGCTATTAGCAAATGGCTCTAACTCTTATGTACTATGACTTCATATAAAGCCATAGCATTATAGATAACTACAAAAATCGCCCAACAAAAACAGATTTTTGCATTCAGATTGCATTGCTAGCAATCGGTTTTTACTCACGTATGTGTCGACTTCACCAAGTTGTAGAACTGAGCTGAGTTTCTCTTGTCACACTCTCCCCTCTCCAGCCAGTTCACAAGCATGTTAGCGGCCTGGGGGAACGACTCGCCATCTAGGAGAGGAAAAATTGTACAGATGTTCTTATATATAATCTCTGAAGTCAATTAGAAGTTAATGTTTAGTTCGAACATAAGATAAAAATTTGAATGGAAGATGCCTAATTGGTCTCATTCTGAATACCACAGCCCCCCCCCCCCTCCTCCCGCCTTGAATATAACATACTTATAATTATGACTACCACTACATCACAACTACTGCGACTACCACTACAACTATCAATACTACTCCTACCACCACAACCACCACCACTACCACTACACCTTCCACTATCACTACCATTACCACTACCAGTACCCCTACCACAAACTACAGCAGTGAAACCTGTATGAATAGACCACCCACATGAGACAAATTAAAGTGATCTTTATAGGCAGGTGGTCTTCACACACAGGTTTCTTAAATCATGTTTCAATGATTGGATCGTTATCAGGGAAACATGAAATGTTATTTTTATAGACGGGTGGGCTTTCTATAGAGGTGGTTGCTGATGCAGATATGACTGTGTTTGTTCCCTACCTTTGATTTTTGAAAGTAGCGTGGAGCTCTCCCCGGGCGTGTACCTAGGGTTAACGGCAGGTTCTTCTGGCGTAACGGTTGTGTAAGCATGTCTTGCTTCTCTGGCCCTGCGCCGCTGGTCACACTCAAATTCGTACTGGTCATCGCGGTTCTCTGCAAAGTCCAACCGCAGACGTCCGTTGTTAGGCGGGTCAATGTTTGCACCGATTCGCACTCTGTAGCCTGGAGAATGAAAGATGACTAGAATTAATCAAAAACATTTGAACCAACGTTTGGTGCCACATGTGTGTATAGTCCTACAGATCCATTTCATTGTGCAATACTTTTTAATGTCTGCAAGATCAAGTCATTTTGTTTTTATTTTAATTACCGGTATTTCTTAAATACCTTAAATTAAACACTGATGATTATGCACTACATACTCAACCTATCCAAACAACTTCTTGACATTCCCCCCCCCCCCCATAATCTAATTACATAACCAGCATTCAAGTTAACATATTTGACTCTAATGTCATTTAGATTCCATTTCCAAAGCAATGATTTAAATTGCAACATTTGGTCGGTGCCCCAACTGATCCCAACAACACCAGGGCTCCGTCTTACAAAGAGTTGCGTCTGATCCAAATCAATCGCAAGTCCGCCAATCAATCGCAAGTCTGCCAATCAACTGCAAGTCTGCCAATCAACCGCAAGTCTGCCAATCAATCGCAAGTTTGCCGTCTTCTATTTCTTTTGTACATGGTTGCGATTGATATTAACTCTTGGTATTAAAGACAGGGCCCAGGTCAAAAACCTCTCAATTTGCAGAAAAACAGTTTCAACTCTTACTGGCTTATGTTGGTCGGGACTGAACAGAGTAGTGACACTCACCCGAAACAAACATGGCCTTGTCGACCGCTTGTTCATCCTTGAAGCGGACGTGACAGAAGTTTCTCTTTCCTTGTCGGATATTGATGATCTCGCCTCCGTATTTAGTGAAGAGCTCGAGCATCATCTCGACCGTCATACTCTGAGGTTGACCTCCAACGAAGATGGTCTTACAACCAAGAGGGCGCTCTCCTACCGGTGGTGGGCCTTGGTCTGAAGGTAGAACATTAAACGTCCTTGTTCATGAAGGTGGACTTACTACAATCCACTGATATCACTCACTATGAACATGACTGACAAAGAAAGCGGACAAAATATACAGTTCCTTAGGTAGACAAAAAGGAATATCCCTTCCGTGCTATTGTATAAAAATGTGTAGCACAGGTGTCACGTGCTTATTCGCCTTTTTACATAATAGCAGTAAAGGGATGTTCCTTTGTCTACCTGAGGAACTGTATATTTTGTCCGCTTTCTTTGTCCATCATATTCATAGTGACTATGAATATGACGGACAAAGAAAGCGGACAAAATATACAGTTCCTCATTCTACCCTCAACAATTGCTATGGTAGACAAAGGAACATCCCTTCACTGCTATTATGTAAAAATCTGGAGAGAAGGTGAATATGCATGTGACACCTGTTCTACAGATTTTTACATAATAGCAGTGAAGGGATGTTCCTTTGTCTACCTTAGCAATCGTTGAGGGTAGAATGAAGAACTGTATATGTTGTCCACTTTCTTTGTCCGTCATGTTCATAGTCAGTGTATACATGAAAATTTGTATAAAGTGTCAAGCTCTTTACTCTGTGCAAATAAGTATAATTTGGTGACGAAAATGAAAAAAATGAATGAAAATGAGGAATTGATTGCAAAATCATTTAAACACATTAGTTCATTTAGCTACCTAATTATGGTAATTCTGACAAGATGAAAAGGTTGGCAGTCCACTTATCAGTGGACCGACTCCAACAGTTTACAGGGTTTAAACATAAAATAAAATTAGTTAGAAAAGTTAGGAGGTTGACCTCTGACGAAGGTGGTCTTACAACAGAGAGGGCGCTCTCCTACCTATGGTGGGCCTTGATTTCCTTTACAAGATCAATCATTTGGATACGAGTGACCATTTTGCTAAAAGGAGAAAAGCGTTTTGGGAGTTACGAGACACACTCACTCCCACAGCAACTGCTTCACAGTCAATATCCACACTGACCAATTTCTTTATTTCACCCTGAACCAAACATTATACTTCACCCTAACTATGAACCTGACCTGACTGAAACCCAATCGCAATCCTAACTCCAACCCCATATCTTTGATGAATAAAGCCTTGAGCCCTAAGGATTGTCACTGGAGCAAATACTTCAGGTTTAAAGTGCTATTTTTTTATCCACACACAAGTGGAAATCAGAAACGAAAAGATGGAGAAGCCAATACTTACGCACAGTAGGGGGGAAGAGGGTGAAATCAGCAAAGTGCAGGACCGGTTTCCTTGGACCACTACCAGACATATCGCCCATGCCCATATCGCCCATGCCCATAGGTCCACCCATGGGCGGTCCCATCATCGGTCCCATCATCGGTCCCATCATAGGACCCATCTCTTGGCCCATAGGACCACCCTGCATGAAGTCCTGCCCCTCCATAGGGCCTGGGCCTGGAAAACCAGGTCCCATTCCACCAAAACCCGGGCCCATCCCGGGCAACATTGAACCACCGCCGCCGCCCATCATCATTATTGCTCCGGGATCGTTCATTGAGTTGTCTTGGTAACCCATGGCTCCGCCCCCTTCCCACATGTGCTGCGAGCCCTGGTCTGGAGTAGAGAGTCTTCTGCCTGAGGATTTGTTGTCTCGGTCTGCAGGGAGACAACAAATTTAGGAATTAAATCAAAATGGGAAACGGGATGTGAGGATAAGATCTCTACAAGAATTAGCTAAAATTCTGATTATGAAAGGCTTTCATACATGTATACATGTATGCATGAATGCAATGATTCAGATATGATTGAATGTTAGACAGATGTTATTTCATTTTTATTTAAACCCATTACAGTACTGCTCTGAAAGGCACTTGCTTCTAAATAATTCCCATCCAGAAATTTGTAGATTGTCAATATCTAGGAGAAACATCAAAGGCATTTAAGACTAAAAAGAGTACTGCATATGCCGGGTCTTACCATTCTACCATTCTGTAGTTTCTACCAGATGTATTAATTGACCTACTCCATTTGTTCGCAAACTTGAATTCTGTCAAATGTTTTAAATTCCAACAATCTTCTTTTTTTTTCCCACAAACCTTCATCATAGGTTTTCTCTATGACCTTTGGCCCACTTTTGGCGGAGAACTGTAATGGCATGTTGTTGGAACCTGGATCTGCACCATCTCTACCATCTGTAAAGAAAACCAACAACAACAAAAAAAAAATCAAATTTACAATCACTTTATAAAGATATTTTGTGTTTGGTTAGAAAGTATAAAATCAACCTAAAATAACTTTACCTGGAATTCTATGGGCTAGCAGATAAGGAGTGTGAATAAAAATATGGAATAACATAAACTCCAGCAAACAGAACCCAAGTTGGACTTGTGGCCCCATTCCTTGCTAAAGTGTGTACAGACTAGGGGTGCTTTGAGAAGTCTACTCACAAGTTACTTTTATATTAATTGGAAATACGTTTAAACTTGCAGTATCTTTTAATAAGTGATATTTGGAATGTAATGTGATGCGAGGTCCACGAGTGTTCCCCGTTCCTTGCGTGTTGAAAGTTTGGTAATACATAGTTTGCATTGACTCGCGCACGAAAAAATTGCTCAAAAAAACAAAATGTCAAATGAAGAAATAAACAAAAGTATAGTTATAAGAGATCTACCAAGGTTTCTTTTACGATTTAATTTATTATATAGTCTCAACAAGAATTCAGAATTATCTCACTTAAAGTTAAGAAACCGATGATGTTTTTTTTTCGATCGTAGTTATTTTCATTTTGCCAGCAGCCTATCTAGCGTTGTTTTGGCAAAAAGCTAGCCCGCCACCTTTCCACCACGAACCTTTTGAGTTCCGCTAAAATTGCGCGCTGCAGAGCTCCGAAGGTGCATTGGTCTCGATGGCAACCTGCCAGCCCGCTAGCTTCCCACGACGGACCATTCGTGGTATGGTGAGAGTGTGTGTGCGAGGTACGATTTTGGTTTCGAGAACGCACGCAACGCAACCGTGCGCGTCACTTTCAGCTGTCGAATGTTTAAGGACATTTTTAGTAAGAATACTTCATCTTTTATCTTTGGTTGTACAACAATTAAAAATATAATTTCTTCAAATTTGCTCCTGACTCGGTTCAGACTAATTGTCTGATGTGTTTTCAAGTCAATTTTTTGAATATATTTTTTTGCATGAATTTGCCTAAATCTAGACCCTAGTAATGAAGTAAAGGAGGGGGTTTTCGGCCACTTAAGACAAAATCCTATCTTTTGGACTCTTTACTTCCTATTTATTATCATTTTCTTGTTCAAATCATGAAGCAAATAGGGCCTACTATTATTATTCAAACAAAAAAAGAATCCCAGAAAAAAAATCATGAATTGCCATGACAATATTCATTTCCATTTTCACTGTTTCGGAGGTATTTTTTCGGCCTAGCGAGGCAATTTTCGGCCGCATGTACAATAGGAAGCAAGCGCGCGCCGTGCGTTTCCCCGCTGATCTATAGCACTAGCGGCTGGAGCAGGTATCCCATGCAGGAGCTCGCCGTGCCGAAAACTACCTCTGGAGTGATCAGAAATTGGAATCTCAATCTGAATTACGCAAAGATATTGTGTGTGCACTGCGGTATCCTGCTGCATTGATTTAAAATAAAGGGATCTGGTAACTTTGTCTCAGATTCTGAAACAAAATCCTGAATTTAGCTCATGCTGCAATGATAATTTTAAACCTTTAGGTCCGTCAGGAATCCCATAAATTATACAAGCCGATCGCCTGTCTGATTATCAAGATATTTATGATTGGAATTACACATTTTGAAAACCGTTTGCGAAGACCAACCCCTTCCGCTTTTAAAGGGATCGTTAAACAATGTTAAATCTGAGCAGGGATATGTGAGTTTAAATGGATATACCGTCTCTAAAGAATTTCCAGAGGGACAGATATTGAAGATTAACTTGGCTTAACAACAAGTAATGTAACCCTCTTCAGCCATCAAATCCATCAACAGCCGCCCTTATCAGACCACAGATGCCCTCTGGCGATCCAAATGGTACGAAGTGTTACGCAACGCTCTCCAAACACTTGGTCGTAAAAAAAAGGCTTTAAAGCCATGCGAGTCACCGAGAAAATGACGTCATATTCATTGAAGATGTATATAGCTCTAATATATAAAGTACAGAATCGACAACGTATGGCACAATGCAACCTTCTATTGGTTATCAAATGCTTTCGCTGTGCTCGGATAACTCTACTGAAGACGTAGCCATCTGAACCAGCGAAATCGACCAAGGAAATCATGAGTTAGAGTGAATGCAAGTTTCTCATCATCATCACGTTCTCTTTTAATTATTGACATTTTCCGAAAGTTTCCGAAATTTTTACATAGCTAGGAAGGTAGTCCATAAGTTTATCCCTTAAAATAACTAAATGAAATTGTGTTATATATTTGCGCATTTGGTTTAACGAGGGTTAGAAGTTGTCAATTCATCACCACTTTTCACCCCGAGTACGGGCCGGCGATGCGAAAGCGGCCGTGCTCGCTGGGCTGTACATGCTGGATGTTGTTGGTTGAAAACACACATAGCTGCAGCTGCATTACTACCCTGGCCCTCTTGGGTGCTCTTAATTCCAACATTTCAAACGCCACTGTACAAAACTCAACTGATTTCATTCAAAGGCAGTACTTTAGTGACGATTGATGACACCTAAAGGGCATTAAAATACAATTTGTTCAACTTTCCGATGTTAGAAAGAATAATTTAAAAATTAAAATTGTGAGTCTACTGTCAAACTTGCCGATCAACCGCATCGGGATGATTATGTGCATTTGTATGTTGTGAGTGTATTGACTATTCATGTATTTCAAATGCTGCCTATTTAAACGTACTGCAGTGCTAGTAGTCAATACGCATTAGTATCAACTATCTATGCTTTGTGGCCTATGCATATCGCATTCACGACATGAAACCATCTAACCGTAACTCCGGGAAGCTCCAACACCGGCGCCGCAGGCGTCGGAGCTTCGGGTGATTTCGTTGTTTCCTCGTGAGGGCTAGTAAAACAGCCGATTGGGTGATATTATTGTTAAATCTACAAAGGGAGTACTTACAATTTTTACATCATTGTGTGCAAGACTCCTCAGGGCTCAACTCCAATAACGTGAATGTATAATTTGATGAAGTCTTTGATGGGAAAAAAAGGTTAATTCGGGGTACTACACCAACGATTCTTCCATGTCGCAGCGTTGATTCAAAATAGCGATGAGAAGGTACGCATGCGCGGCAGTGGCGAAGAAAATATGAATATTCATGCTATCGAGCGCCGATCGCTGGAAATCGCTGAATATGCACGACTCGAACAAACAGAGCCCTTCTCAACCTCGTGCATATTCAGCGATTTTGAGCGATCGGCCTCGTGCATATTCAGCGATTTCGAGCGATCGGCGCTCGATAGCATATTTTCTTTGAAATAGCATGAATAGTAGAACAATTGTCATGTTATGAGAAAAAACTCATTATTGTTTCCATTTGCTTTTATTGTGATGCAGGAATACACCCAAGAGAGGAAAGGATGTTACACACCTTTCGAGTTAGCCTGCAATGAGTACGGACGTGCATTAGCTTTCAGCTCTTCCGGCTTTTTTTATTTGACCACCGCCTGTTCTAAAATGTGATTTATTTCAACGCGAACTATTCCGACCTGGTTTCCTTATGCGCTGTCATTATTGAGAAAGTGGAAATTAATTGTTGTGCAACCGATTATACCACTTAAACTGATCCTACTTCACACGAATTCAAAATGGCTACTGGTGTAGCTGGAGTCACCACCCGGCCGCGGACACGTAACCGAGATACCGCCCACAGCCCGCCAGACAAATCGGGCAAGGCATTTCCCGCTTTGCCCCAGCCCCAGTCTGAGCACCCAACGAACAGTGACATTCAAAAGTCAATTCAAGACCTCGCATCTATGATGTGTGGCAAAATCGATACGCTAACACGAGAAGTGAGTGGACTCAGTGACAAACTAACGAATTTGGAACAAAGTGTTGAATTTAACTCTAACAAACTGCACGATTTTGAAACGACCGAGCTGCCAATTCTAAAAGCAAAAATGAAGGAAGAGATACAAAAAATGGAGGACAAAATGTTGTCACTAGAGATTTACAATAGAAAGCAAAACCTTCTCTTATATGGAGTACACGAGACCGAGCAGAGTGAGGATACGTATATCATCGTTCGTAAAGCATTTAAAGAGCTCGGAATGGAGAATGCCAGAGCAGAAACTATCCCGCTAATCAACGCCCACCGATTGCCCCGCCGTCTACCACAGGGTCAGAACACCCAGCCCCGATCACCGACCCCCATCATTGCCCGATTTGCCGTCATGGCCGACCGCGATCACGTCCTATCACTCTTCCAGCGCCAACTACGCAGCCGCACCCTAGTAGCCGGACCAGGAGGTATCCAGCCAACGCCCACCCCACCTGCCCAAGCGAGCCGTATCACTGTCAGGACGGACCTACCGCCTGTCCTGAAACAACGACGCGGCATTTTAGCTAACGAAGCCTACAAGCTCCGAAAGGAACGAGGTCTATCCACCAGGATAATTGTTCAAGGCACCTCTGTGATCTTACAATGGAAAAACAAAGGCACCAACAAATGGAATAATCAACAGGAATGATTCCTATCAAAACAACAAAATATGTAAGCATGAACTACGTATTTATTCTACGATAAAATACGTTTTTTTTTTTTTTTTTTCTTTTTTTTTCTTCTTCGCTGTATTATATTTCTATCTGTTCAACATTACAGACTCTAATTTATTCCGAAAGAAAAAAAGATTGAGAAGAAAAGAAGAATATTATGTGAGAAATAATGACTTTACATACAAAGAAGGAACAATGATCAAATTATACATTTGATTGAACATTTATTTTAGACTCTTTAAGTTCGCTCATTAAAACCTTTACATAGCATTTTAAAGAAATATGTAATGGACATGCTTCAACATAAACCGAAATAGAACTCTGTATGGACACACCGACTTTCAACTTCGGTTATTTATGTCTCGCCCTTGCATATGATATGAATTATACGCTTTAAAAATCGAATGTATATAGTACAATGCATGTTAAAATCATTGTGGACTTACGCATATATTTAAGTACATGTATATTTTGTTTTTCTTGACGCAAAAATGTCAAGATATTTTTTTTTTTTTTTTTTTTTTTTTTTAATTTTGTTCATATTATATATATATAGATTTTTTTTTCTTCCTCTTTGTATCTTTAATTGTTTGTTGTCACTTCCGCAATATTTTCAATCATGGAATTTAAAAGGAAAAAAAAAACTGTGACCACTATACAGACTTGAAATACTAGTAGAAATTGAAAATGTTGTACTGTGGCACAATTACTTGTTTTATTTCATGGATATTTTGTACTCGCCATGATGCTTTGTATTTTGTTCATATATGATTATATATATATATATATGTATATATATATATATATATATATTATTTTTTTTTTTCCCTCTCTATATTTATAATTGTTTGTTGACACTTCCGCAATATTTTTTAATGATGGAATTTTTGTTGTAATTATGTGACCACTATACAAACTCGAAAGACTTAGTAGAAACCAAAAATGTTGCACTGTGGTACATTTACTTGTTTAATTTAATGGATGTGTACTAGCCATGATGTTATGCATTTTTTTTAATTTTGTTTGTAATAAATATTTTGCTATGCTAATTAATGACATTCTCTTCGGGGACATGCCTGCGGCTTGGTATGCATGGCTGGAGCTTGTGCTCTATACGATTTGTAAAGCGCATCGGTTCCTTTTGTCGTGCTTCCCGGGTCGTGTGTGCGTTTTCGGGGTGAGTGCCCTTTACCCACAACAGAACACATGCTTTCTTAATGTTAACACTTTAGAATTTCCGTTTTTTTTACATTCTATTCCCTACTTCTGTTATGTTATGTCATTATAAACACATTTATATTGGAAGGATTGATCTTAAACAATTTTA